ACGTCTTGTTTACGACTTCTTTATTAGGGGCGTAGAGTAGGTACGCTACTATAGGAACTTTATCGTTCTTATAGCCTAGCTTTAGCGTAACTTCTAGGTAGTTAGACTTAGGAATGTCTACCGTAGTGCCCTTGTCCTTCTATAGGTCCTCGTACTTCTTTACTACGGCCTCGATAAGTTGTACCTACTCTTCGGTACCGTAGGCCGTTACGCTATTAAAAAGCTAGGTCTCTTTTATAGGGTTCGGTAGGTCCGGTAGCGGAAGGCCGGCTACGCCGTAATCTTTAGGCGCGATATAGTAGCAGCCGTAGTAGTTATACTCGCGTATATACCCTATCTTTATATGTCGTAGTAGAGTCTATAGCTAATTAGTATCGTTGCGGACCTATACGAAATTTACTACGGCGTCCGCGATAGCGGCGTAGATAGTTAGGGCCTTGTTCTTAAGCTCCTAGTTTTGCGGGTAGAAGGCTACGTCTCGATCTATAGGAAGGTCTATTCTAAACTAGATAGGTACCGAAGTTACCGTCTATAGTACTAGAACGACGTTCTTATCGCCGGAGTGCACTACTATACGGAACTTAACCTAGTCCTTATAGCCTACTAGTAAGGGAATCTTCGCTTTCTCGTAGGAACTAATCGTTGCGGTACGATATAGCATATCGATTTTAATACCCTTCGGGCCGATAATGTCTATCGCTATAAGGAACTTAGCTCTAAGCTCTTTAACGATATATACCTCGTAACGTATATAGGCGATAACCTTAGAGCCCTTAACGATTCCTAGTACCTGAAAATCGAGATCTGCGTACTTACTAATGTCCGTCGAACCTACGCCCTTAACCTTTAGTAGAGCTACTAAGCGCTTACGCTCGATATCCGGGCGTGTCTAGTATAGGAAGGTCTTATCGATAAGTAATACTATCGCGCCTATATCTAGGCAGACCGCGTATTCGGTACCGTCCTTCTATAAGCGCACTACCGTACGTAGATAGTAATAGCCCCGAAACGCGTATCTACCCTTAACCTTTAGTAACGTAGCGGACTTAATAAGTCTAGCGTCCTCTTCGACGCTATCCTTCTTAGGCGTTAGCTCCGTAGCGTACTTAGTACGCCTATAGTCCTATAAGAGATTGTTACTATCGAACTTAGAGCTATAGTTTAAATATAAGAATTTTAAAGGTCGTATCGTAGTAAAAGGTTCTATCGCCGGGGGAAGGTACTTACCGATATATAGGGAAAAGGGCGATAGTAGCGGAACTTCGCTATAGTATACTAATATAGAGTCCTAAGAAGAGGCGTTATTATCTGCATCGTCTAATCTGTAGTAGATATCTACCTAGTCGTTAAAATATACCGGTATAGAGTGCGGGCTTACTAGCCTCGCTAAGTAGCGTAAGCTAGATCGTAGGCGTAAGTACGAACGCGGGTATAGGATAGATATAGGCTTTTCGACTAGAGGCTCTAGTACCTACTTATCGGCGTAATAGTTGCGCGGGGCCTTATTGCCTTAGTAGCTGCGTTCTTGCTAACCCTAGGTATCGCGTACGTTATTTCGCGCGCCCGTATCTTATCGTTTTCTATAATTAGCATTTCGGTTTCCGCCGCGTACTTCGTAGCCTTAATTATTATTACGTAGCTCTACCCGATTGTTACGGTTAGAAGTGTACTCTTTTTAGCGTCCCTCCCCCGCTAGGGCTTACCTATCGTTTCCTTAATCTTAGCGCTAATACTAGTTTTAATTAGTATAGCTACTATTTCTAGGGCGCTTATTTCCGTAGCCGCCGGCGTAACCGCGACCTAAATTGTCGCGATATCCGCGTACTACTATAGCGTACCGATTATCGAACCTACCGGCGTAACCGCGACCTAAAGTATCGCGATATACGCCCGAGGAATTAATATATCGGTCGTTATTACGAGCGTTTCGATACTGCGACTTACCGTTATACCTATTACAGCCTCGGGTAGTACCGTAGCTATCGGACTATATATATCTACGGTACTATACTTTATACTTGTCTTTAACGGCTTGCGTAAAAGTATAAATTGTATCGCTTAGTAAAGGCTTATCGAGCTTGTTCTATAGGCGGGGCTCGAATCGTAACTATGCCTAGTAGAGAAGAGCGTACGGTCTATTAGAGTCTATCTCGAGACCTGCCTCGCGTACGTAGCGGATATAGTTTATAATAAACTACTAGGGTACTCTGCGGTTGCGTACGTCCTATACTATATACAATTCGGCGTATAGCTTATCCTAGGCCTCGATAATAGATCTGCTAAACTTGTCCCTTAGGGCTTTATACTAGCGCTCGATGCCCTCTCTACCGCGAATCGTATTACGATTATTGCTTATAAGCTCGTAAATAAACTATTATTATACGGCCCTACGGAGGCACTTCGTAAGCTAAGTACGTACTATACGGGCGTAATTAACCGCCGCGTAATTACAAGCTACGTCTAAGAATAGGTATACTAAGGTAAATGTAACCTTGTTACCGTATGTATAGATATCCTAGCTATCTAAGTCCGCGTATAGGGCGTCCGGGTAGAAGTACCTAATGTCTATCGGGTTAAACCTCTCTAAGCGCTAAGAACGATACGGGCTATAATAGGGTAAGCGGCTAAACTAAAAGTTATCGATATAGTGCGGGTTAAAGTTATAATCTCGGGGGCTATAGTTCCTGCCCTAGGTACTAGAATTACCTAGGCTTAGGCTTAGAGGCCCTCCGCTAGCCGCACCGCCTTAACTATAGCGGCGCTATCTAGCCTCGGCGTTGCGTTAGACGTTACGGCGTAACTAATATAGCTAGGCATTAACTAGGTTAGGTAGGGGGGCTAATAGAACTTGTTCCTATAGGACCTATTTATTTAAACCTATACGCGCGAGGCGTTTAGCTCTCCCGGTATCGAGCCTGTCCTATACTAAGCTTAAAGGGATACTCTAGCGTAACTAGTCGATCTCGTCCCTAATTTTATCCCTAAGTTGCTATATTTAGATAACTTATTAATTTAATAGTTGTCTAAACAGCTAGCGTATCTTATTGCGTAAGACGGCTAGGTTAGCGGCGTTTAGGATTTCGCCGTTAGCGTCTTTAGCGGCCGCGTTAGCGCTAGCGGTGTTCTAGTTCTCGTATACTAGGACTTCGCGTAGCGCGCCCTCTTATAGGCGTTAAGGCTAGGGATTGTCGTAAGCTAGCTGCTTACCGTTGCGCTAGTTCTAAGAGGATAGTCCTACGGCCGCGTTACGTACTCGCTAGCGGTCCGCGACTAGACGCCTAGCTTCCGTACCTAGGAAAGCGTTAACCGATCGGCGGCGCTATATCTACTATCGAGGAGGTAGGTTCCGCTCGATACTAGGTTCTACGTATACTAAGTCTGTACGCTAGAATTCTAGGTCTATATTTTAGGATATATCGGCTATATCTTCCGTAGAAGCGGGTAGGATTAACGGCTCTTATTGTCGGGGTCCTTACTACTATATCTCGGGACCTCGATTCTAGAGCTTAGGACCTAATAGAGAGGACTCTCGGTAAAGCTTAGTACCTAATAAAAGGGACTCTAGCCTACTCGGGGCCGGAAGCTCCTACTATTCCGGCTCGGGGCTCTATTACTCTATATCCTCCTATTTAGGCTTAGGACCTTGTTACTTAGGACCTTGCTACTTAGGGTCGATAGAAACCGGTAAGGACAAGGTAGGGCTACTCGGGACTAACAGTTCTAAGGCACTAAGTTCTCGTAGACCTAGGGGAAAAACGATCGGTAAGGACCTATAACGTACGTACGTAACTCGTCGCGTACTAGCTACTAAAATCGTCCGCCGGTAGCGTAGTAGTAGACTAGTATCCGGGCTTGCGGGCACTACTATATCTAGAGAGGGTAGTACTAGTTCTAGAGTAGGAGCCGCTAAGTCGTTAGGTCCTATTATATCTAAAACTGCAAGTTCGTTACGGAGTGTAATTAGTGTCTTCGCTACTACCGTAACTAAAGAGCGGTTAACTGCCTAATCCTAGGGGAAACCGAGGATAGTACTACCTCTAGCGTCTAAGAGTTTTCGCGGTATATATTCTTCTAGGGGCTAATAATAAGTAGTAATTGTCGTAACGACTGCTTTTAACGGGTCTCTCTACTTCTAGTATACTAACTTAGCGTAACTAGCGTTAGCTAAGAATTCCTTAAAGCAAAAAGCGATGTTTAACGAGTAGGCGTCTAAATCGGGGTATACGGAAGCTAGTATATTTATAAAGTAAGCGTAGGCTCGATAATCTTATAATTATCGGATAAGTATAGAGTTAAGGAACTAGACTAGAGTCGGGGAACTATTAGGGTACTTATAGGCTCTTGCCTCGACTAGTGCCCGCTTCGGTAGGTACTAGTATAGAGTAAACAAACCTAAATAAGGAAGGCGGGCCGCCTAGTCTAGCGATTAGAGGGCTATAGGGCGCTATCGATTAGAGGGCTATCGGTATATAGCTATATATATACGGAAGATAATATACGGAATTTAGAGGACTATCGTAATCGTCTCGGTATCGAGCGTAGATAGTTGTTATAGTTAGGTAAATAGGTCGGTACCGCTAGTATAGGACCTCGCGGTCGCGTCTTTTTAGTTTTTTAAGGTGCCCGTTCGTCTAGTACTTAGGTACTATTCGAACGGATCTAGATCTAACTAAAGCGAAGCTACTAATTGTTATATAAGGGACGATTAGTAGTTAGGCAATAGTATAGTATTAGTAAGGTATCTACGGTCCTACGGAAGTATATATAGGCCCGGCGTTCTATACCTGCCGTAACAACTTATACTATAAGGCCTAAGGCAAAAGAGAAGGAAAGTAATAGCGCCGAGCCGTAGGTGCCGTAGAGGTTTAAAATATAAATACTAATAACCTATAATCGTCTAGTAATAACTAGTTATAGTAGACTATAATCGCTCGAGATTATAGCGGCTTCTATAACCGCTATAATCGGTGGCAAGCATACAAAGCCTAAGGAGCTACTTCCTAGTCGACCCTTGCCCTTGCATACTTATCGATATCGGCTTTGCTTCTGATTTGCTGAAGTAGTCCGTGAACATTTGATAGAGGTCTTCGCCGCAAGATCGCCAAGGCACGCTTCCTTACCTCTCGGGCGGTAATGTACATACATAGAGTGTATGCTATACCATACCCATACCAGCAAGGAATGGGAGCGAGACACACTGCCCTTGAGCTTCCGAGATGCCATACACATCACAAGGCGTATGGGCTACAAGCAATCCTGCAAGGGTGCCTGGGGAATCTTCTCACACTGGCAGAATCTTAGATTCTTAGTACCAGAGGACTTTTGGCAAGAGCTGGTTACTAACTCATCACGGACTGGAAGACGTGGGTGGGCACTGCCAGAGCGATTTCTCGGAAAATGCGTATTCCGTCAGTGGCCAGCAAGGGACAAATCTCAATGAACTGAACTTCCATCGAGATATGACTCTTGCCATTTGGGGGAGTCTACACTTTGGCGTGATGGCTTGGACCAAGATCGCATGTCGAGAACAGGTTGCAGGAATGGTGTCGGCGGATCGCTCGTGAGCTCAGAAAAGCCCGAACATACTGGAAGTACCTCGCCTGGACTTGGTATGGATGACTTGCTTGGTCTTGCACAACCAGATACAGACTCAGATGTTCCCTCGACAGGCTACGATGATGAGGGATATGTGAAGCAACAAGTCCCAGTCTGGTGCCTGCCTGTTCTGGATACTGGCTCATCTAACAAATTCGCTCACCGCCCTAATCCTGGATTCCAGCTCAAAAGAATATTCCGAGGGAGGGCCTAAGGAGGAAGCTGAAGAAGGCCTTACGCTCGGCGACTTGACTAAGCAGCAATGATTGGAGATTGGAGCCTCTGGAAGTCGTTCTAATGTGCCACCCAATAATGTGCTGTCACTTGTTTCAAACACTTCGCATCCAACGACAGGACGACGTATTGACATGTAGTGGGACCTTCGCCTCCGCCACTGTTGCCAATTCTGGAATCGGAATGGCTGATCTGAGTAATGATGTTCGGCAAGAGGTCCGCGAAATCCTTCGCGTTCTATGCTCTGTCAAGATTGGACAGTGTGCGACAGTGCATCCTTCATCTTGAGACTAGCTAGAGCATGTGGCGCATTCCTGGACGCCTGGAGCTGGAAATACAAAATGTCGAGAGCTGCTTGTTGATGCCAGTGACATTTCTTGAACAAGCATCTACCAAGCCTCTGCCGAGACCGAGCCAAGATGTCGGCCTTCTTCCTTTCGCTGATGCTATTGCCCGAAGCTCTCGCACAAGGGTACCACAAGCTGCCAGTCAGTCGCACATTTCGGAAGGGTACCAAGGCCCATGCCAAGGCCGTCAATGAGCCTCTGACTTTCGAGGATCAATGGTTGAATGGCCAAGGTGGCTACTTTGCCGATGTAAAGATCGGTACATGCTCAATCTTCCAGGCCTGCATCGAATACGAAATCATAGTACTAATCAAGACTCACAGGTACACCTCCACAGTCCATGCAGGTCCTGATCGATACTGGCAGCTCTAATCTTTGGGTCCCCAGCACGAATGCCGCTACATGCAGGAATTACACTTGTCCGGCCGGAGCCTTCAACGGGAACATGTCTTCAAGCTTCGCGCCTGCAACAGGTGCGCCCAAGTATCATATCATGTACGGCGATGGCTCCATTGTGGACGGCATCTACGCATCGGATACCGTATCTGTTGGGAATGCAACATTGACGAACTTCACGATTGGATACGCCGATGAGGTCCAGGTCTCGCCCAATGTGATGAATGGAGCACAGTACGGCATTATGGGTGTAAGCTACGAAGGCGAGGAGACTGGTGCTTGTCCAGACGGCTATGCGCCTTGCAATGGCTCGTATGTCATCCCCACAGTGCCCGATGCTCTGTATAGATCAGGCGCTATTGGCTCCCGTTCGTACTCCCTATATCTGGACGACGTGGTCGAGCAGAAAGGCAGTATTCTCTTCGGAGCAGTGGACACTGCCAAATTCTCAGGCGATCTAGTAACAATGGCGACTATCACGCAGTGAGTACTTTGGGGACGCTCCTACGTCTCCGAGCTATTTTGCTAATTGATTCTGCTTCTAGTCAAGGCCCAGAAGGCGACGGCTTGAACGGTGATTACGTCGAGCAAGGTCTTTACCTCTCATCCGCCGCAATGACCATCAACGGTACCAGCACGCAGATCACCACAGATGGATACTCCAACCCGGTCTTGTTGGACTCTGGAGCTGCCGCAATCACTTTACCCAAGAAAGTCTACAATGCGGTATCAGAATTGCTTCCGAGCGATCTGATCGTAACCTACCAAGGCTCGGCCGCTGTATTCTGCGATCAATCTGCTTACGATCTCACCCTTACCTTGGGCTTCACCGGAGCGGACGACAAGAATACGACCGTTGATGTACCGCTCCGCGAAATCTTGGTGCCTCTATACACCGACGAAAGCTACAATTCCACGACCTTGGCGACTAAAGATGGCAGGGCTATTTGCAGCATCAATCTCGCTTCAGGCGCAGATGGTGAACAACTCACTGTCGGCGACCCATTGCTGAGAGCGGCTTACGTTTTCTACAACTTGGACGAGAAGACCATCTCCATCGCCAAGCCTACATACTTTGCAGACCAGGAGAACATTGTGCCAGTCAATGGCTCCACCCCAAGCCTCACTGGAACTGGTGCCGATTCGATCAATGGAGGCAACGTGACTGTCCCAGCTTCAGCAACGGCTGTGGCTGCCTCAGCAACAAGCAACACCGGATCTGACTCTTCGCCCTCAGCAGCGAGCAGCACTGGATCCGATTCCTCTCCCTCCAGCACCAATGCTGCAACATTGGCGTATGGATCGATGAGTCAAGGCGCTTTGGTTGCTGCTTTTGCAGTGCTGGTTGGGCCTTGGTAGAATGAACAGATATGATATCGACAGGAATAAAGTTAGAATGCCTTGGCGGCATTATGAGAGAGACTATGAAGACATTTTAATGAACACCTTTCATCCAACCTGCATTCAACGACATCACATAGTCACGCAGTGCCCCTTACAATCTTTTCTTCTGGCGGTCTTCGCATGTTATGTGATCGTGATTGGAAAGCACTCGAAGGGACCTTCGCCAATTAGACACCTTCCACGAATCGTCATTCCTCCAGACGGTTCTCGGCGAGATTCTTGTTGCTGCAGACATCGTTGAGCATGCCTGGACAACGTCCCAACTATGACTATACCATTTGCCCAGCCGAGCGGTGGTCGGCACTTTGCCGACATTACTCTAGTCACGAGAGCGCAGAGAGTGCTTAAGACAGCATGCCTACACGGAGTGATAAAGGTCTAGACATTTCTTCATTGCTGCAGAGTCCCCGTAACCAGGCCAGAGGCTCCAAGACTCTTCGCTATTGTTCTCTTGCTCAAATGCTAGCTCGTCGCCATCGAGGTCCCATTTGAGTTGAGAATTTCGTCTGAAATGTTCCAACTTTCATAGTCACCTTGGATTCAATCGATAGCAGCATCGACGGCTGTACTCTCCTCAATAGCGGTTGACATATCGAGTGTTGTCTTCGCAACATGTTACCTAACCTTCTCGAAAGTCAATGACGTCTACAAGCTCGTCATGATGACCATTCTGCTTGGCCGTTTTGGAACGAAAATTTCTAGACAGTGGTGTTGCTGGAGACGTGCGTTGTTGTCGCAATTGGCATACGACGTGTGCCGTATCAAGCTCTACGCATCACCTAAAGCTACTATACAACTGCCCAGCTTTTCACGTCACACCATTAATACGACATGACAAGCATTTACCTAGCAAAAGGTCCTCTGTCATTCGACGAGATTAAGGAAAAGCTGCTTTCGTTTCCAACGCCTCTCATAGAGACCAGCTCTCCCAATGACGCAGCTCTTACGGATGCCATTTCGACGTTATATCTCCATCCCGCTTTCGAAGCTCTCTTGCATATCCTCAACCAAGACCTCGCGTCTGCTCACTTCCTCGTAAGGCATATGCAGTGCGAGCCAGAAATTGAAGGAATGTGGATCCACGGCATCCTCCATAGGATAGAAGGAGACGTACAAAATGCAAGAGCATGGTATGCTGATGTCTGTGAGACTGATGTGTTTGAAAAGGTCTGGGGCAAGTCTTCAGAGGAAGAGAAGAATGAAGCAGATGCCGAGAAGGATGGGGTCAGGACGGGCAAGCTGCCGAATCAAAGGAAGGCAAGGGAATTTTTGGATTGTGTCGAGGCCGTGCGCGATGGCGACTTGAACGCAAAGCAGGAGCTTGAGAAAGACGCCAGGAGGGAAGTCGAGACATTGCTGGAGTGGTGTGGGCAGAAGTTCGGGACCGAGAAGAACTTGGACGCATCGAAAGCTTGGGTGCAGCCAGGTGGAAATTCTGATGTCGGGCAGAAGAAGCAGAGTATGCTCACTGGTGGAGACGGCTTCAGGAAATTCTGAGGCATTTTCATCGTCGTTCGAATGTCAGTGAGCAACAGATCAGTCTAAGACAATGAGCTCCATGGGAATCAATCCATAGGTACCGAACATCATTTTCACGTCGAAGTCTCGGCGAAGCCCACGAGAGATTGGCTCCAATGCATGCTGAACTCCCGGCAAGTACCGTTTCGTCGTCCGCAACAACTTCCTCAGCAAACTTTGAATCCCAAATGTCGACAGTGCATGATAAGTTGGGCATTCGGTCAGAGTTTCAATGATGAGAGATCCGAAGAGAGGCTCTCTGAGTTTGCAGCTGGCTGGCTCAAGCCGAAGTATCCGGATATCTATCTCGAGCACTTTCCAATGCCTTTTATTGGAACCTCTTCATGTTGACATATTCTCACGGAGATGTGGCCCTGTTGGTCTCTTGTCACTTATTCGGATGGCTTTGGTGGCAAGTGGCTTAGCTAGCTCTTCGAGACGTGTGTTTTCACCGGTCTTGGAAGCCTGGTTTTGGACACAATTTGTCACGGGCAGAGCACCTGTGACTATCAAGGTAGAGTCCCATTGCTCGCCTCGTCTAGTCCTTGTCCCGTTTCCTATCTTTTTCTTCGGCTTTTCGTCTCTCCTTCTCGGCCTTCCTCTCGGCCTTCTCAGCATTCCTCTCGATTTCATGCTCGTCTAGCTCCTTCAGCACAATCTCCATAGCTCTCCTTATAATCCGGGTCATAGGAAGAACTACCGGTCTCTGGATCCCGTCTTCGCTCCACAATCGCTCAGCAGCGGTATCCTCAGGGGTGACACTCTTAGTCCACCTCAGCTCCAGAATCCTGGTCTTGATCATAGAGTCGACTGCATCAGTGCCAACTTCGCGACAGAGTTGAAAGTATGGTATGGAATATGGCGTGCTTGTCATCTTCTTCATAACGTAAACGAGGTCTGTGGGAGAGAACTTGGCATCATCCTTATCTGAGTCCTTCCCGGAGGTCGCTGTGGACAAAGGTGAGTACGTTTCGAAATTAGCGCGAGTTAGGTGGAATTGTAGCAGAGTATAGGCCTGTACGAAGATCGCAGACTCATAGACAGTCATGTCGCCTCGATTGTTGCTCCAGCTGCTCACGTAGTCATTGAGGTGAGCTAGCTTGCCGCCAAAGGCATCATAAAGCTCGTCAAAAGTCAGCTTGCTTTGCATCCCATCTGGCAGAGACGGTAGGATGTGCTCATGATAAAATGTCTGCGCCTCTTCCCTGGGCACATCGCCAATTGTCATGATCTGCGCATGGTGACCCACATTCATGCTTCGCAGAAAGTGGTGGAAGAAGGAGTCGCTCGTCGACAGAACTACATGGCACAAGCGGTCTTGCTTCGTGATGACAAGCAGCGTGTCGAGAAAGACTTTCAAGCTGAGCTGATCGTCGACCAAAGCCGGCAACTTGTGCGCCTCGTCCATGAGAAACACGATTGGACGCTTTTTGAATGGCCTCTGCTCTGCCTCTTGATGTCGTCCGTCTGCATTAGTGATCTTTGTCTCTCCTGAGCTCTTGTCTGTAGATTGCGTTGCATCGACCTGGCGAGCTTTAATCTCGGCTCCGGTCTGACCTGCCTCTCCATCATCTTGCTTAGCTTCTCCGGTCTCGGTCTGCTCAGTCTCAGCATTGTAGTCCCAATACTTGAGAAGACAACTTTGCAAAGATTCCATCAAGCTTGCTAAGTCGGCAACAGTAATCTGATACCCAGGAACTCCATTGTCAGGCTTCTCCTTCTCCAGAAACTCCAGCTTCAAGTGCTTGAAAGTGAGCATGTTCTTGTTCATCTCCTCATCGTTCATCTCCTGGAAAAAGCTCTCGAACTGCGCACATAAAGATAGGTACAGGGTTCTCAGATCAGCGAAGCCGCTAATTCTTAGATCGAATTTGATAACGAAGAAGTCATCAGTCGCGAGCACTTCCCTCAACAAAGCCGTCTTGCCCACGCTGGTAGCGCCGAAAACACTACAAATTTAGGAAGTCAGTATCAATATTTTGCTCCTTCAGAGGAATGGTACGCGCATCCGAGACGTGGGAGCTCATATTGAGAGACATGCTCACCAACGTCGACATACACACCCTAGACTTTGTAAAACTTACACGGTCATCTTGGGAGTGTTTGACAGAACCCTTCGCAGCAGTGCCTGCTCAGCCTTTCGGCCATGGAACCCTGGTAGCCTGGAGAAGGTATGCTTGGGCGGAATCTTCTTGGCTTCGTTGCTGAGTTCCAGATCTTCCTTAGCCTTCCGCAGCATTTCTCTGGACTCGTTCAGTTGGCGAAGCGTCTCGGCCGGATTGGAGATAACCCCAAGAATCTGACCCATGCCGAAGAAACATCTTCGCTGTGGCGGGACGAAGGCCTGGCATTGTTTATTTGGGAGTGGACGGCAGAGTTGCCGTCGTGCTGCTGCCGATATCATCTTTGCATGAGTTGGTGGATGACTTTCGGTATTGACGATGATCGCTAGGCCGACAGGGACGTGATAGTAAAGGCCCAGGCCCTGATTGCAATCACCGTCCGAATGGTCGCCATCACTGGCTTTGTGGAAGGTCGCGATGATGACGGCATGAACGCGCTAGCACCTGCTGTGGCTGACACGTGGTATGCACGAGCCAGTTGCAAAAATAGTAATTGACATGTGCTTCGCATGTAGAGAGTACATGTAATTCAATATGGATGAACACGCTCGCGGGTAGAGTTGTAGGCCTACTTATATAGTGTAGGCGCGGGCTCTACAAGTCTCGAATTCCGGCTGCGCTGCCCCAAAGCAACAGCCGTTGGGTCGGTGTCAACCTTTGCTTCGTCTCTGGGGCGGTGAACGGCATTGGCGAGTTCATGTCTTATTGCCTCTCGCTATTCCGATCCCCGGTCCAAGGTCTCGTATCGTGCTCCGCGTCTTGCACCAGGAGAAAGCAGGAAGATCAGTGTCCGCAAGCAGGCAAGCTTCCTATCGCCTTACAGTGCATCGCCTGCCATGAAGTGGTCTTTGGAAAATAAGTAGAGCCGTTCCTTTGGCAACCGATGCATAGGGACCGTTGTGGTCGTCGCTGCCGATGTGAGAGATGACGATGTTTTTTGGTTGCATCCCCGCGATGTGATGATATTCATCCAGAACGCTGAATCGCGGTCTGTGTGCAAGGTGAGCACGAAAGACAAGATGAGGACGGAGCCGCAGTGAGCGAGAATGCTATTTCATAGATCTCTAAGAGCGGCGATTGTATTTGTGGCACTTCTTTCGAGCCTGTTGTGCGCCATCTGAAGTGGGCCTCAGTATTTCCCCATACCGGAAGCCTTCTCCACTGTCCACTGTGCATTCTGCTGCTGTTTTCTTCTGCCCAAGTTGTCTGCGTCAGTACATACCGCAATGTTGGCAGTGACTGAGGCCCTATGAGCCCGAAAGGCGTGGCTATGCTTTTCGAAAAAGCCTCTTTATTCGGCGGTCCCGCCCAACAGGCCATTTCCACTGCCTCTGGCATCTGTGTCGCCTTATATCCCACTGCATGAAGCCTCCCTTGACTGCAGTCAGGAGCCACAGCTCTTCAAGCAGCGACTTCTCCAAGCTCTTCCTTGAATGGATCTTCACCTTCGCCAGGCAGCAAAGATATCTTCTCGCCATCTTCCAGTTGCAAGCTCCACTCAAGTGTCTCGAACTGCATCGCAAATCAGCATACTCCCGTCTTCCACACTTTTCTCTACCATAAAAGGACTCACCAAACCCATCCTCGTCTTCCTCTCGCTCTTAAATCTCATCAATCCCTTTCTCTTCGTCCCTTTGACCCAAAAGCTAATATCAATCCTTCCATGTAACTGATTCAGCTCTCCCGAAATCCAAGGTATCTGGCTAGCGAAGTAGATTTCATCACCCAGAATCTCCCGCGCCTGAGCATTCGTTCTCAAACTGTACAACGTAGACTTTACGACCGAGCTAGAAGTTTTCTGATAGTTGAAAATGGCTAGCGACGAGCCGGTGACGACGAGTGCGAAGACCGGAAGCGTTTTTATCCAGATGTTGATGCCAGTCGAGATGCTCGGGAGTGCGCGATCGGCGCGGCGCTCAAGCAAAGGTCCAGAGCCAGGTTTCGGCGCGGCAATGAGGGTGCGACGGCAAGGTGTATTGCGAACTTTGGGTGTCGCCCGCAAAAGGCGAAGACTCGGCCGTATGATCATGATGGGAGATGTTGTGATTGTGGTGAAAGTCAATGGTCAGTTTGATGATGCTTCGAGAGGTACTCGCGCCAAGCCCAGGTCTTGGGCCCTCCAAGATCGACAACAATCGGTCGAGCAGAAGAGGCTGAACGGTTTGAATGAATGTGAAAGTGTCAAGGAAAGGCATTTGAAAAAAAAAATGACATCGTGTTGACTTTTGCTGTCTTCGTTATACATACATCTAATTCACCAAGGCGCGCTATCTAGCTGCTGCCGTCCAAAACTCCGTCGCTAAATCGCTCAGAGGGTATAACAAAAGATCCAACGCGCTCTCAACCGCTATGAGCTATATCTACCCGGTCTTCGGGACCAGTTCTGTACAAGTAGTATTTCTTCGCGAGCCCGTCTCGCGTTCCGTCAGCTTCACGCCACCGACGCCTTGCTCGCCTCGCAGAGCAATGCAGATTCGCTTTTGGAATGAACTGTACAAACAATCTCGAGTATGAGATTTGAAGGCACACGTCATACGTGAGCCGTTTGTGGATGTCAGAAAGCATCGCGATGATCAGAAGCAGTGGGATTCATGCTTGAAGCCTGCCGATGTAGATCAAGGGACATTGCGGTATTTTGACATCAGCCGATCATGTCGACTATTTCCTCGCCATCGATAATGAGCACGCCGGACTCGTTGGTAGATACTGATATAGGAGTCTGAAGCCGCCGCAAGTCATCACGGACCTGGTAGAGGTAGGAGCGTGATGCGTTGCATCGCAAATGGAGATGCATCTCAAGCACTTTGTGCTCGAATGGATGATCCTCGTAAAGGGTAGGTGCAGCTTTCCAGTCGAGGTGAACGTCTTCGAAGACGAAAGACTTGATCCGCCGCCTGGCGCATCGCTGTCTCTCGAGATGAAATGCATCCTGAGGCGGTGTGACATCCGGCATCAGCAGTCGTTGAACGGATCGTATCGACTGGGATGACTTTGTCGTAGAAGTGAGTTTGCTATCAGTAAAATGTGGCGAGGCGGACGACTTGACCAGGAAATAACCAGGATCGGATTGACTTGTGAGAAGTGGCGACGTTGAGGGAGAGGTGTTGATTGAGGACGACTTCGAACTCATGCCAGTCAATTCGTACGGAACGCCGACCAGTGTCAAATGTGTTCATGGTACGAAGAGGAAGGAGGAGCGTCGGTACTCCTCTTTGATAATGCAAAGCTTGGCTTGAAGGTAAGTGTGACTCCAAGGCGGGGGCGGACAGTGCCAAGCGGCTTGCTTGTAAACCGTAAACCGAAAGCACCGACGAGCTGCGGCGTCTATCATGTGATGATGGCTTCTGCATGTGATGCCGCAGACCGATGCACAAATCAGCCGATCATGTCAATGTCAATCGAGCGGTGGTCTTCGTCTGATGAAAAGCTGTTCAATTGTCGCAGTTTCCGTTCGTAGTCTGAGACACGTTTTCGTGCAACTTCGTCTGCAGACATAGACATGTCGACTTCATCCTGATAGAAGACGGGAAAGCTTGCCCAATCGCGACAGCCCTTTGATGCTTTCATTGAGCTTACGATATCGCCATATATCTTTGGATGGCTCATGCGTAGACATCTGCTGGAGCGCGGTTCCCCAGCCGGTATGGGCATCATCATGGCCTCGATTTTGGGGTCGGATGCTCGTTTACAGGGCGGTAGTTTCGAGATGCTCGAGTTGGAAGCCGTGCTGCATCGGGAAGCGTTCGATTGGTTGCTACCCTGTCGCGATATCCTTTTCTTCCTTGGCGCTCTGGGAGGCTGTTCTTGGTGCAGAGGTATGCTCGCGGATGGCCGCGAGAAGCACGGAAGGCGCATGTCGGCGCGCTGGGTTGGGGCACAGGTCGAGAGAGACGTGAGAGTGCAAAGCCGGGTGTATTCAAGAGCGATGGTAGCGCTTGTTGGGAGGTAAATGCTGTGCGGCCGTTATTGGCCAAGGCTGCCCGCTTTAGGAAGTGCGCACGGTCGGAGGGTGTTGATAGTTCGAGAAGGCTATGCTATGCGGCCAAGTTGCTTGTGACTGTTGGGTGCTCGTCCACAGATGGTCTTGGTGCGCGAGTCCATAGCTACAGTTGCGGAGGCATTATTATTGGGAAGGGCGAGACGTAGGTGTTGAGGGCAAGGCAGGTGGAGGGACGGGCTAGTTATTGGAGTTGCCTCTGGCTGGCGAGAGGAGCGGCGGGCCCGGGCAGACATGAACGAGCTTTGAGTTTCATCGCCGGCAATCGGCACGCTTGGCTGGTCCAAAAGAAGTGCACTACACTGGCGGCAGTCTGGCGCCCAGCAATCTAATTTGCCCGGATCGCCGCCTTGGGCTCTCTGTTCACTTGCTAAGCATTGATGCCATTCTCTTTGTCTTGGAATGCGTCTTGGCCACAAGAACAATGCCGGCCTTCTCGCCAAGTCCGACTGCTTGATCTGGAGCCGCGCAATGAACATCTTGTAGCCTTTTGTCGCTCTTGCTGACCAGCGATACTACTGTCAGAAGATGGTTGGACATAAGTCGACAGTAATGACATGCTTGCAGTGACGCCGGCCAACCCGCCGGTGGACGGTGGACGGTGGACCCCTTGACAGGCTGGTCGGCATTGCGACAGAGCTTCGTGCACGAGGCCGACAGACTGCAGGTGCAGCCCTGATGAGCGCTACGTCGGCCTGCACCGGCTATTTTGGCTGGCCGCTAGCACAAGCATCGCACGTCTCGAGTCGCAGCACGCAAGTGGCTTCTCCAGACGCCCTGCAGGCTGCTGCAAGGTGCAAGCATCTGCGGCCACGGGAGTAGTTCATCATCCGCATGTTTACACCAGACTCCAGTACTCCGTATGTTGTTATTACCGTATACACCAACACGTTTCGCTGTCCTCCGTAAACCGCCACTGGAGGACTTGGAAGTTTGCTGCAACGATCCGTCATCATCTTATTGGTCCGTTTTTTCGGCCGCGAAGAAGCGCATGACACCAATGTGCCGTCCTTTCCATCAAAGATCGGAAAATGACGTTTACCGAAGCAACCTCATCCCACAAAGGATCAATGTGCCCCAACCATATGGAGCCGCGATTCCGACTTTGCAGACACCGGCATTCATGCAATGAGAGATGCCGTCACCCGTGCACGCTGTCCTGCAATAATGCCGCGAAGACTCTGCTTTGTTGTCACGCGCAGGATACGGTGGATAATTACAGATATGCAGTGCCTGGCAATGTATCTATTCCCCTGTCGTGCGTGTCTGAGCCTTGCCGCGGTTCCTTGCCCGCTCCAGCATTCACCGGTCAGCCTTTCTTCTAATTGTGCACCTGATTTCCTCACCGTCAGCCGTCGCGCGCATATCAGAATGGCGGTGCCAATGGATAGGCCTACAGGAATATATTGTCCTTCGCATAATTGGGCTGGTCAGGATCATCCTCAACGTCTGCAACCACGAACATCTTCTTCACCGCTTTGAGGAAGTGCATGTCTGCTCTGCGTCTGCGTTTGAAGCAGAAGTAGCACACGGTGTTTGGGCCTATCAGATCTTGCAGGGTCTTTTGCAGGAGAGGGAAGGCCGGTTCGTAATATACGCAATCGGCTGCCAGTAAAACGTCTGGGTGCTCTGGTATGCCTTCTGGTCGTGCATTTCCCCAATCGTATACTGATGCGCTCACCTTACTTTGGAGCGTGTTGAGCGATATATTTCTCTGCATGAGAGGAAGCATTGATTGCATATCCGTGATGTGCAGTACACTGCTTCGACCGCATCCCATGGCAATGGCCAATCTATTGCCGTCAACGAATGCGGCCACTAATAACAGGAGAATGATAATCATACCCAGTCAACCCACCTCCAGCTCCAATCTCGACTCTACAAGTGATGAGGCGTTAGTTGCAGTAATAATAGGAACTCATCCCCATTGAGCGACTTCTCACGCACATGGAGGCATTCTGTAGGTCGCTTCGTTTCCGCCGTAGCAGGTACCTTGTTAGGATCATTCCAGCAGGCCAAGCCTGTCCTCCATTCCCGTCAGCGAGGTCTTCGTGGAGTAGCAATGGCGGCGTCAGCAGACCGCCAAAGTCCACTGTTTTCGTGCTTGCAGCTTTGTGCGATGGGCTTTGCACGAGGTCTTCCGACAGCACGAATGCTCCGGCATCAGACTCGCTGTCGGACCACGGCATTATTATTGCTCTTGCAATTTTGAAGATGTGTCGTTCAAGCGGCTCAGGGCCGTGCTCATTTCTCGAAGATGGATCGACGAAGGTTTGCTCTGCTTTGCAACGTGCTTGGCCATGTGCTTGGCATGGTTCTTGGTAGTCTTGGTGGCCTTGTCGTTGCAAAGAAACACAACAAGCACAGGCCTGCAGCAGAATGGTAGTAGTGCCCTAACCCTAACCGTAGGAGGCAAGTACAATCACCGCAGTACCCGCCAGTGGTTGGGTGTCACAAATTAGTTCTATCACCAACAGGCCAACAGGTCGAAGGAACGGGACAAGGCCACCACGACTTATGCGCCTGAGTGGCGTAGCGTGGCGTGGCATACATCCACGCCTCGCACTTCCCTTTCCACAAATCAGAAAATCGCGCATCTAATCATCAGCGTCGGTATCGCATCGCATCGCATCGCACCGAATCGAATCGAATCGCTTCATCCTGATCGCTTGCATGGAGGGCGTGTCCCTCTGCGAACTGGCCTGCTTGTGAACATGCCACGACACGGTGAACGACAGCACACAGCATCCTTGGCTCATCATCCATTGTATGTACAGACCACTGCATGATGTAGACTTCGCTACGCCGGGTACAGCATTCCGACAAGGTAACGATGAGTGGAAGCCTTCAAAGCACGAACACATGGGGACCATGACGTGAAGACACAGAACAATTGCGGGCCTGCAGTTGCCTATACATACACCACGATCCTCTGGCTTGAAATTCTCCGTCCACAGCTCTGAGAGGTCCAGAGAGGCGGGAAGGTACATGGTGTACGGCACCTGCATCTACCGACTGCTCCATATGCCAAGCTCTTCTCCGCGCAGCTGCCCGAGCATCACTGTCGATGTGTGAGCGCTCGTCTCACAACTCCACTGAATGCGGTCCAGCGAGATCACAATAATGTGATGAGAGTCACGGCGAATACAAGGCAACCCGCTCTCGCAGCAAGGCTAAGTCATTCCTATCCTATTTCACAGCAGCTAGAAGGATTGGTAGCATCAGTGCATATCCCTTGCTTCGCAGAACAAGACATTCCCTTTTCCATTCTTTCAAAGCCACACCCAGCAAGGGCTCCAGAATTGAGCATGGCCACTTTACGCGTGGAGCGCGCGAAAGAGCGCGCTGATTCTGCATTTCCTTTCCATAATCTGAGCACGCCATCTTACGCCCTTGACAAAACTTCCCAGCACGATCGACAGCGATGAGACGAGACGAGACGAATTGAATAACTCGGTCCAATGCCATCCACCACTTCCACCTGCTTCGCGCCTTGACACACAGCGATAATGGCAGTCAGAGCTGCGCAGATACTCGCAAGGGTGTCATGCACCTTATGCGCCTTGTTCGAGATTGCTGCAGCAATACCGAATGTTGCTTTCCCTTTCAACTCCCAGGTACCGACAGTCGCACGCATAAATCAACCATACACTTTTCAAATCTCTGCGTCCACTTTTGCGCCTGACGCCGCCAATTATGTCTACAGTCTTGCTGGTCAGCCAGCATGGCTCACGATCAACAGCGCAACGAGAACTTTGACGGGCACACCTGGCACTGGAGACGCTGGTTCCAAAACCTTCAACCTTTTGGCAGGCGACAGTAGTGGTGCGGCCACAATGGAATGCACACTTGTGGTGTCCGTAGACCCTGCACCGCAACTTACTGGAGATGTTAGCAGGCAACTCGCAGAGTCTGCAAACCTCTCGAGTAGCGAGCCGCCGGTGGTGACACTCGTGCCATCCACAGCATTCAATTTCGATTTCACTCAGGAGTCTTTCATCGACATCATTCAGCGCAGGCTTTACTATTACGCGACTCTATCTGATCATACACCTCTGCCTTCGTGGCTGAAGTTCGATAGCGAACGGCTCACGTTTTCCGGCATTGCACCAGACTTGAGTGCCTTTCCACAATCGTGGGACATCAATTTGATCGCTTCTGATGTGGCTGGATTTTCAGGAACGTATGCCTCCTTCACTATTGCGATAGGTACGCAACAGCTGGTGTTTGTACCAGAAGAGCAGGAAGTCAATATAACCGCCGGCGACAAGGTCAACATCACAGTGCTTCAGAATGAGTTGTTCAGCAGCAATGTCAACATCAGCCCAGCGGATCTGAAAGATGCGGAAGCTGAAATACCTGCCTGGCTGCATTTTAACGCTTCCACGCTGGCCATCACTGGAACAGCACCGGTGGACTTTTCAAGCGCAAATATCAGCGTCACAGCCACGGACAAGCAGGGAAACATGGCAACTGCGATCATCAATTTGACAGCAGGCAATGCCTCTCTTTTCGAGGGTCAGATTGGCACTCTTTCCGCTGCAGCAGGGGAATCGTTCACCTACCACTTCGACGACTCTCTGTTCAGCCGGGACGATCTCGAGCTCGCAGTTTCGTTGCCAGCTTCGGCCGACTGGTTGAAGTATAACAAAGATACCCGAGCTCTCGAGGGTGATGTGCCTTCAAGTACGCAAGCTTCCACCATCAAGGTAACATTGACGGCGAAGCTGCCTGACGATAAAGAAAGCCAAACACAGACTTTCACCATTGATGTCAAGGCCGTCTCTGTGACTACGAGCACAGCTTCGAATCCAACACAAACGAGTTCGTCTACTGCGATGCCTACATCCAAGCTTGCTTCTGAAGCTCGTCCTAGGCGTGGCTTAAGCGGCGGCGTCATTGCAGCAATCGTTATCCTGACTGTGGCAGCATCTGCTTTGCTACTTTTTGCAATCATGTGGTGCGTACGTCGAAGACGTCGGAATATTTCCTATGTCAGCCGGTCACCAAGGCCATCTAAGGAAACTATTTCACGCCCGATACCACCTCCCTCGGACAGCGCTATTGAGGTTCCAATAGATACACATCGCGATGTCGAAAAGGGCCATGGTGCAAGCGAGGATGTTCCACCTTCAGTGCCTCCGAAGGAGAATGATCCGCCGCCACAAATCACTTTGAACTTTGCCCCGAATCCCGCGAGACCAAAGTCGAGATGGCTCAAAAGAATCTCGCGGGTAAGCCAAGCTTCAAGCCTAGGAGTTGGCGAAGATGCAATCAGGGCGGACCAGAACATACCTGAATGGGGACACGCCAGTGTCGCGCTACACACACCGCATGATAGCTTTTCTGTGCCTGCAGAATTGGCGCGAGTCTCTAGGCAATCTAGCCAAGGTAGCCCCTCCAAGAAGAGAAGTGTGAGTCCTCTCAAGAGGCTGAGTCTTGGTCTCGGTATACACAGCGGCGGCGTAGCTCGTCATTCTTCCAGACGAACGACAGGCAAACATGGTCGTGCAAGAAGCAGTTTCGGTGCGCTGTCAACAACGCGGGAAGCTAGTAGCATGGTCTCTTTGGGCACTTGTGGCACGAGTGTTCTAGGCCAAGAGACAAGACCATCCGACTTTCCTCAGCCACCACAATCACTTCATTCGGCGAGTCATTCGGTCCCAACCCTGGGGACGATGACGGCTCTGTCAGCGAATCCTAATAGAAAAAGCATCCGCCTCGTAGCACGGAGCGACAGCATCAAAGACGACAGACCCATAGATCTGAAACGGCAAAGTTTCATTCGAAATCGAGCAAGCACGAACATCCAGTCGCCTCTGTTCACTCACGGGAGTCGCGCCAGCTCGAACAACACGCGTCAGACAGGTGAAGTCTCGGCAAAGAACAGCACAGCTGGGTCGGCAAGACGAGGGAGGAGAGGGAAGAGCATGCTCACAATGTACTCTGAGTCGTCTTCGGTAGAGCCGCAGCATCATCATCTGGACTCACCTCATCGAGACTCCAGACGTTTCAGTCAGAAGATAAGGACTGCGTTCCGGCCGAACTTCCCACGCGCAGTGACCAAGTCTACACTTTACGATGAGGCTGGGGGAGCGAGTCGTGCGAGTAGAGCGATTACAGACTCGTCCGGAGACTGGACCAGTGACAGCTTGAACAGCCAAGACTGGATTACCGAGCTGTCCAAACCGCGACAGGAGCGAACGTTTGTGCTGCCAGGAGAAGCCTCTCCGACGCCGCCACCGCCTTCTGCACCTCCCACGTCGAGACAGCAGTCTAGACAGGCCACGCCAGATGTTGAAGGTGCAGCCGTACCAAATAGCGCAGCGGAAAGGCTGAAGCAACGCGCGCTGAAGAAGCAATTACGCGAGCGCTCATCTTCACCGCTGAGTCAAAATGTCCAAGTCATCAATCGATCTTCGCCCTCAGTAATAAGGAAGATGCCGAGCACTCGACGTAATCGGCTCAGCGAGCCACTGTCTTTGGTCAGCGCTGATAGCATGCATAAAGGCAGACCTCGAATGGGCAATGCTCGACGACCAGTGAGTGTAGAAGAAGTGCAGAGGCTGAGTAGCATGCGAGCCGAGCATGACGCTGCCACTACAGCTGGCAGCGAGCGAGATCCGTGCTGGTTGACCGAGGAAAGCGATGGTGAGGATATTAGAGGTGCTGGACTGATTCCGCCCCTTGGTGGAAGTGCAAGCAAAGGCAATACCATGAGAAGTGATCTGAGCGGTCCGGCATTTCTGTAATGTAATGAGATCGACGAGAAATCCAAAGAAAATGAAGTCCAATCTTGTCACCTTACGTCCATGAAACACGGGAGCTATGACCACCTGTCCCTCTCGGCAAGCCGAACCTAAACACCTTTCTTTCACATGTGACGCACCTTCACCTTGACCTTACCTTCCAACTTTCTCTTTGAGTATCAACACACAACAAACCCTCACGATGCCCATTTCCCCCCCTCTCCCATAACACACACACACACACACCACCTACCAAAAGAAAAAAGGATGTCAACCCGCAGCGCGGCAACCCGCCTCCGCAAAACCTTCCAATACCCCTCCTCAGACTCCTCCTCCTCAGAGCTCGACGAAGAACACCAAGAGAAACTGATTTCCGACCTCCAAACCTCCGACACCGCAAAGAACAATCTCTACCGAAAAATCTTCCTAGCCTTACCTCTCCTCGCCCTCCTCTTCTCCCTCACAACAACCTTCGCCTCAGCATCCAGCGCCCGCGCCAGACTTTTGTCCCTGCTGAGCGCAACGAGTCTGGCATGTTCGGGATACATATTGCATTACATGCCGATTGAGAAGCCAGCGAGGAGGGGAAAGATACCGCAGTATCAGATCGAGGCTGCGAAGGGGCCTGTGGAGAGGTATTTGCCGTGGTTGAATGGGGCTCTCGTTGCGGTGTTGGGACTTGCGGCGGCTTTGAGTTATCGGAAGGGGAATTTGGAAGATGCCGGGAGGGAGATTCTGCCTGCGATAATATTTGGGGTGACAATTTTTGTGAGGGAGCAGCTCGCGCCGCTGGATTTGGAGGAGCTGCAGAAGGCGAGGTATGAGTTGAAAGGAGCTTGAAGAGGAACACGACTTTTCTGGTTTTCTCATCATACTCGACATGTCTATCTTGATTAGGCGCAGCTCTCTGCCGCATTGATCTGCGAAGACATGACAAATGCCTCTTCCGTGGATGCTGCAAATTGGTATCTCGAACTGCCACCCCACCACCCCGCCACAAACGCCTCGCTCAGATGGCCTCCCATGATCATGCATCATCATTATCAACAACGCGTAGTCCCCTCGTGATGAGGGCAATCGGCATCTCTCCAATTACTGTTCAACTGTGTCTCTGAATCTCAAGACAGCATTGCTGCTGAGCAAACCATCAACGCCCTTAGCTAGGCCTAGGACGGTTGGGCGTTGGCGCACTGGGTCGCGGCTGTAGTCCGCTATCAGCACGAGGCCGGCCTCCTTGACCGACGATACGAGTGCTGGTACAAGCTCTAGCAACCTGCTGGTACAGATGAGGCCCATGAAGTTGTTGCTTTGTGCAATCCGGACGGATTCCTTGATGCTCATGTCTGTGCGACCGCAATTTGAGACCATCGAAGGGTTGGTGGGGCGTAGGCCGTTCGTGACCGAAGAGTCGACGCCGAGCTCGTTGCACAGAAGTACAGGATCTAGTTGCAGAGTTAGTAGGCGTCTGCGCGATAATAGGCAAATTTCATCTTACAATTTGGTTGTTTCCAGTTCAAGGCAATGCAGACCTCTGGATTGTAGCTGCTGAAGACAAAGTTTCTTTGTGGACCATCATTCGATTCTCTCAGTGCCCGTGCATGGTCGAACACGACTTTGAGGATGCTTTCCACTACCAGATTGATGCTCTGCGTGGGGCCAAGCTGCAACGCTTCCTCTTCCTGGCGGGTCGGGTAGCAGACGTGGAGTTCGAGATGCAAATCAGCCGGCAGAAGTGCCAGAGCATCTGCGAGAGATGCGTAGCTTCGCGCGACCTGGAGCTGTGCAGCCGCCAGGTTGTCGCGATCAATACCGGAGCCAACAAGACCTTGGATGACGCCACAACCGCGATCAGCTGCCAAGCCGGCTTCCTCAAATTCTTTAGAAGTCAGTCGGCTAACAAGGTCGTTTCGGCTGCTAGGTAGGGCCCAGTCATTGTATAGAACAGGAACACCATCACTGGTGACTTGTACGAAGAGCCGAATGAAGTCGCCGCTCAAGCTGCTTCCTGTGATCAAGTTGCTTGGATGATCCTCGAATTGGCTCGTAGCTTTCCAGTACGTCGCGAAATGCGTGATCTCCAGCGGAACACCATGGAAGGGCGTGACAACTTGATACCGGAAACTCACACGACCGATTGCTCGTAGTCGAGGATCGAAGAGCTCGAGATGCCAAATGCCAGAGCTGCTGGTTCTACCTTTGAAGACGCGACTTGACGCTGCGGCACGAGCGATGACCTTGCTGCCAAATGTCGGGAAAATGTCGAAGTCTATGCTGAAAGCGTCAAGATTCTCGATCTGAAAGGAGACGTTCTTGAGGTCGTCTTGTACAGGCAGAGGAAGGTTTCGAGGTATAAGGTCAGAAGACTTCGATGTGATGGTAAGCCGCGCCGCGGGGTATTTGCTGTCGCCATAGAACTCGATCGCATCGCCATCGATATCTCCAAAGGATAGCTGAATGAATGTCTTAGTGGTGTCCAGGAAGTTATGCCCGTAGCGCCTGAGTGGGATAATCGGAGGAGGAAGGCTAAGATCTGGGATGTTCTCGGGGTCCGATATTGACAGTGCTGGTGTGCCACCAGTCAGAGGTGGTGGAGGCTCTCCAGGTATCGCTTGAAATTCCATAGGGTCTCGAGCAGTCGCATTCACTGCACCCGACTGTGCAAGCAGCTGCATGCAGTCTAGTCTGCCTTCCCATGCAGCATAGTACATCGCAGACAGATCCTTCTCGTCGAGGACTGCAGGGTTGACGTGAAACTCAAGCAGTTGTCTGACGGTATGGAGGTGGCCTTCCGAAGCTGCATGGAAGATGGGAGTCCATTGGTATAGCTTGTCTGGCTGGTCCATGTCTACTCCGTAGTCTTTCAACATGCTTAATATTCGATCATCTCGGCCAAAGCGTGCGACGAGATGCTGCGGAAAGAGACCTTCAGCGTCCGGCAATATCTGTGGTCGAAATCGTATGATCTGCTCGATGATTGGAACCGAGCCGTACTGACAGGCAAGGTTCAGAGGGATGTGATCGGTGCTGCCAGTGGGATTCACAAAAGCTCCGAACTGAAGCATCTCCTGCACACTGCCAGGCTGCGAATGCACAATTCCGTAAATCAACGGCGAAAAGTTGTCCAGATCTTTGAAGTCGACTGTGTCAGGTGCAGCATCGACCAACATCTTGATCATATCCACCCTTCCGTGCATACAAGCATAGTGCAACGGTATCCTGCCATAGACATCTGGCGATCGGATATTGGCACCTTTCGCGAGGGCTGCGATCAACACGCTAATCTTGCCACTGGCTGCTGCCTCATGTATGCAATTGCGCTCATTGATGGGATCGCAGTAGTTGAAGTCCACGAGATCTGTCGAGTACAGAACGTCTTGAGCTGCAGCGGCCGCGGTATTTACGGTGTTCAGGAATACGCGACTGATTCGCTCTTTAGCCTCGTCATTGGTAGTGATTCGAGAGGACCATTCGCGGACCAGCCCCACATTGCCGGCGTTGATCGCTTGTATGACTTGGCTTTCAATCTCTTCATCTTGCGCAACAGGCTGCTGTCTGCTTTCGAGCTCTGGAGCGGGTGAATACTGCAGCTTTTCGCCCTCCGCCCAAGCTTGCAGCTCAAGCAAGCCGGTCGTCGCCTGATCTGACAACTCGCTGATGACATCGCGATTGAAACAGGGCTGAACATCGACCGCTCTCGATAGGTACAGCTCTTTTGTGCGAGACTACAATGTGGTCAGTACTGACAAATGAAGACGGAGATATCGGGTCAGAAGCACCTTTGACGTTTTGTCCCACTGCTATAAGTTAGCTCAACGCAAATCAATGTTAAGAATTACAAGCACCTTCTTCAAGATCTTTGAAAATGCAGTTTGATTGACCTCCACGAACTGCTGGAGCTTGTCCAAATCACTGCTGAAAAGACGGAAGCCCTCATCTAGCGTGACATAGCTGGAAGATAATTTGGAGGCTGTTGTTGCTCGTGATTGAAGGCCTCTCTTCTTGTCTTGTAATGTTCGGAGGCGCAATTTGAGCTATGATAGTGTTAGAGCGCGGCACTGGAACACGCGCAGCGTGGTACTGACTTCGGCTTCTTTCTGTAGGTAGAAAGTGTTGACCTTCTCCAATTCTCTTTCCAGACGAAAGAAGAACGTGGCCTTGTTCGCTTGCAGTGAAGCTTGAGAGTCCTGAAGTGGCTCGCCGTTCGGACCTTGCTGTAGTGCATGGAGAACTGGCGTTGCGCTCAGCTTTTTGATGAGCTACCATGGCGTATCAACATGAAGCTCTTGTCGAACAATATCGATGTGATCACCTTCTTCAAAGCCTTGTAGTCTACGAAGCTGGCTGCATACTCGGGTATGTCGAGCTGTCGCTTCTGGATATGCTTTCCGAACTTCCTACCACCCGCCGCCCATCAGCATACACCTCACGCCTCTTCCCCCGCCACTTCCGATGGTATGTTGCAGACGTACATGGTTGCTCGGGGGTTGTAGCGGCCGAGGATGCGCGTGTGTGGGTGAATGAAGGAGTAGGTCGGGAGCTACTCAAGGACGCATTCTGTATCCTGCTTGCTGGCGGCTGGCTTGCTCGTGCAGCTCAGCCGATGATCATGACCGCGAGTCACTGCAGCGTTCTCTCAAAGGTGCAGCGTGCTCTGCTTTGGTGACGGGAAGTTGGTGGTGGTAGACAGCAGATTCGTCGCAAAAGCTCTCGTGCGGTAGTTCTACCCGTCACATGCGAGGCAGACCCCACTGAGCGAATATCATGACAAACTCCTGCTCACATTTGCGCTGGGCCTGTCCGCCACAGCAAAGTTCACTTCACGCAACAACCATCGAGCACCGCTCCGCTAGCACCACACGCAGAAGCGGGCGTTGACGATCGAATGGCGGCGGCAAAGACATGCACGTGCACGTACTAGACAGATACCGCCACCGCCTCTGCAAGGTGTCTGTATATTAGCAACTCGCGCTGATTGGCTCGACCCACTTTTACCCCTGTCCCACCCCTAACCTCGAGTTGCTAGCAACTCCCCTAATGAATTTGGTTGAAATATACTTCAAATTCCAAAGGGCTTTAGGAATATAGTAATTTCTACTAAGGTTGCTAGCGATAACTTAATAAAACTAAAGTTAATATATAGTATAGCCGTTACGCTAAATTCGAGGTATATCTACTTGCTCTTACCCTTATTGTCTATTGCCGCTATATCTACCGCTACTATATCTACTACCGCTGCCGCTACTAAAGGTCCTACTATTAAACACTTATTACTGTTCTTCTAATAGAAATCGGCGGTCTCTAATAAAGGTAGACACTTCCTTGTAGCTTAGTTATAGTGTATCGATTAGCGACTATTGTAGTATGTGTTATCGGAGGTTTAATAGCTATAGCGTAGGTATATAAGCGGCGATTATTAGGTAACGAAGACTACTTAGTATAGTAGGCATATATAGAAGTCGCTATTAGTAAAGGACGTAGCGCATAACGTCTGTTAGGCTGCCGTCGTTTAGAGAAGGTATATTATATCGATAGGTGCCGTCGCCTATAGTATATATATTCTAAAGTACCGAGTTAGTAACCTACGTAGGTTTAAATAGCGACGGCGGAGGTTGCTAAAAGGAAGGCGAAGGAGGTTAGTAACTATATCTATACTAATTAGTATAGAGACTAGTCGCTATATACTCTAGTGCGCGTTAAGTGCCCTCGCCTAGCGCGAATAAGTCCCTTACCTATTACGGTTGTTATACTTAGTAAGGTTGTTATTACTAGTAGTAGTAGTAGTAGATTAATAGTAAGGCGCCTACGCCTATATCGACCTACGCCTATTAAATAGCAAATAATGTGCTATCGTCGTATTACTATTAATATTGCTAGAGCTGTTATAATAGCTCTGCCGCTACTAATAGGCGCATATATTTAGTATAATACTACTTAGTAATATCGTCTCGATAGGTTAATAATAGATGCGCCGGCACTACTATTTCTACCTTCTTAACTTTCTAATAATAGTCGTAAGTAATGTTCTCGATAAGGCTGCGAATTAGTAGGTAACGGTCCTTTAATATAGTACTAGTAATAGCGTTAACTTCCTCGGCCTTATCGTCTTCGTATAGGTTATTATCGTCTACGAGCTACTCGCTATAAGTCTTCGGCGAGTTAATATCGCTATTAAAGCTATTAGGGTTAAAGAAACAGTTAATATAGCAATCTACCTGTCTAGCCGTTATACTATCGCCTAATATCTCTCGATTATACTAAATATGCCGATACGGTTAGTACTACTACTTCTAGAAGAAGCACTAGCATATATCGGGGAGTTAGTTATCGAGTTGTAGTTAATATCGTATCTAATTTAGAAGCCCGGTATAAGCGCGCTTCTAAGCGAGTCGATATTGCTTAGTAATAGCGGTTTAAAGATAGTATAGCAACTCGCAGAAGCGCTTACTACTACTATTTAATCTAGTAAATATAGGAAGTAGGTTATCCTTTGCCGCCTCCTTCTTCGTATTGTTATACTATCTCTTATTAATCTCTAGTATATATATAAGGGTACCGGCGAGCGAGAAGTTAGCCTTAATCGACTTAGTATTGCTCTTAAAATCGGCGTAGTATGCCTCGACTAGACTAGTTATATATACCTAAGTAACGACGGTTAGCAATTATGCTTAGAAGAGGAGGTTATAGTAGTTATAGTAGTCTTATACGTATTAATAAGGGGTTGCTCCTCCGTTCCTTAACCGTCTATATCTAGGCGTACTTAGCGGACTATTCTCGTAACAAATACGAGTATAACTCGTCGTTCTTGCCGTCCGGTAGAGCGTTAATAGCCTATTATATTCTAACCTTAACCTCCTTATTAGTCTCTGCATATAACGACACCTAAACTAGCTTCTTATAGACCGCCTTATATCGACTTTTAAGTGGAAATTTGCGGCGAATAGTCTATAGTAAGTGCCGTATACAAAGATAGGTCCTAACTAGTAGAAATATCTCTTAGATTGCTATCTGTTCTAAAGCCGAGTTATTAGTAATAGTGTATTATAATAACTAACTACTAGGTTTACTATAGTTAGCCTAAGAAGCTAGATAATGTAGTGCCTGCGTATAGACCTAACTATGCTTGCTTTTAAGCAATGCGTATGCTACTAGACGCTAGCGTATATTGTCGTTAGAAATAAGGATATTAAACAACTTCTAGTCTATTTAGTTAACTTCGTGCGTATCGTCTAGCAGTATTAATTTGCTATACTTCTTTAGTAGCTTAATGCCTTCTTCTATAGCCTATACGAAGCCTCTCCTAATACTATCCTTTATTAAGACACTAAATAATTAATAATACAATCTATACTCTTTTGCTACCGCTATAATACTCTATAATTAAAGCTTAGGATCGTCTCGTTCGGCCGGCATCGTAAACCGCTTGTCTTAGTTGTAATAGGGCGACTTCTTAGCGGCATTATATAGTAAACCGATATCGAGATAAGAGACACCGAGATTAGGTCTATATTAGCTATTAATAGCGTCGTACGTCCGCCTCGCTTATAGCAAGTAGTCTATTTGCTTCTTAACCTTATCTTTAACTAGTTAATAGACCTTGCGGCTATTAAGAAGGTCGAGATTATAGGTATATATATTAGCGGTTATATAACGACGAATACTAACCTTTCTAGTAGGCTCGTTCTAGCGGTATTCTACTATTATAACAAAGCTAATAGAGCACTCCTCTTCTAGCGGTTTAAAGGCTCTTCTATCCTTAATACCTACTGCTTCTCGATTTAGCTTATTACGGCGCTGCCTTTCTATATAATAGTAGTATACCTTCTTATAGTATATACTATCCGTACTAGGCTTGCCTAGCTTCTTAGTAGACCTCCTAGTATATTAATTGCTATATAGGCTCTATATTAATTTCTAGCCTTCCGTATCGGTGTTAATGTCTTCTATAAGGTTAAAAACTCGATAGCGAAGCTGTTTAAGGTTACTAATACTGCTAGGCGTAGATAGGTCTATATTAGTAACGTTATGCAATATAGGGGATATAGAATAGGAAATATAGAAGGAATTTGGGAACAGCAGAGATGGTGGCAATGCCAAGATTACGATTTGTATTGGGTTTAGCGGGGCTTGGTATGGTTAGAGTTGCTAGCAACTCTAGGTGCCCCGTGCGGGCCCCACAGTTGCTGGTATACAGACACTCCCTCTGCAAGGGAATGCCGCAAGTGGCATGCCGCCCGCATCGCGATACCCAAATGCTTGGCCGGACGACACTTCATGCAGCGATATAGACTACACATTCGGAAAGGAGATTCAACAGCATCACATCGGATCATTCCATCATCATGCGTGAATTCTGTTGAAACGGATAGTTCTATGTACATGCTGACCTTGGAAAGCCAGATGAGAGGCCGCATTCAAGAGACAGAAATACCAAAGTCACATCTACATTGCCACCTAGCTCGCCATGCCTCGAGTCCGCTTCTTTGCGGGACTTCCCAGACCAGGTGCAGGTTCAATTTCCCGACGCCGCTCGTTCGAAATCGTGCTTCGTGCTGGCATAATTCTTGGCGCCTTCTTTGCTGGACTCGAAATGCCAGGAGCGGCCGACTTGTCGTTATCAGCAGGCTTCAGTGCTGCTTTGCCCAAATCGAATTTTGCTGCGAGACCTTTAGCCTCGCCCAATCTCAAGGGAGGCCCAGCGGTCATATTTGATGCCTTGGTGCTTCGCTTCTTCGGCGGGGAAGCAATCAAAGAATTCTCTTTGCCCGCCGCGAGGCCTGTAGTCGCGTGCGTCTGCTGCGATGCAGTTGGCGCCGGAAGCTTCGAAGCAACAACGTGCTTCTTCTTTGATGGGCCAGAAGACGACTTCTTCGTTACCACAGGGGTGGCTCGTGGCTCTTCAAGCTTCATCTCATCTGCCAGGTTCTGAACCGACGATGGCATGGGCGTAGGTCTCGGCTTGAGTTCTCCTAGCTGCGCCTGCTCTTCTACCTCCTCCTCCTCCTCCTCAGAATGGCCTAGTAGCGTCGTCCCTTTGACCTTCGCCGGCGTTGCGATCCGCGAGACTTTTCGCCTCGTGCTCGCCTTTGGCTTTGGCTTGGCGTCGACCTCTTGCTCATCCTCGCCCTTACTAAGAGTTTGCTCAAGTGGCAACGAAGGCTTGGCAGGAGTTGACGCGGTAGGCTTCTGCGGCTTAAGTCTTCTCAACTTGGGCTTGCTTGGCGTTGAGCTTGCTGGCGGCGCAGTCACGAGACTCATCTCGCCCTCCCTCAGAATGTTTTGTTCGGGTGCCATTGAATCGAATGGCTGCTCATTACCCAGTTCGTCAGCCATCATACTGCCTTCAGGCTCATCTTCTCCCTGATAGAAAGACACTAGCGTTTCGGCCCACTTGATGCCTTTCCTACCAGGCACTGGTGCCTGTTCGACGTCCATAGCATCGTCCTCGTCTGGCTGACTGTTGTCTTTCTTCTTCTCTGCAGCTAATTTGGTGAGTCGAAGCGGAGGCATGACTGCGCCGCTCTTATTCAACCTAGTGTTCTTTCTCGTCTCGAGTGCTAGCGCTTGGGCCTCAGTCTTCTTGAGAACCACGCCGTCACTGTTAGTCCTGATCTGGATCTTCCTCTTTCCGTCATAGGTCGTGGCAGGCAAGGTCTCTGGCTTCTTCCTGGTGCGACCACTCTTCCGCGAGCCAAACTTCTGCGGTGGTCCTGACTCGGCGGCAAGCTCATCCTCATCGTCCCTGATAGGATCTTGCTCGTATTCCAGCTCGCGCTTCTCGGGCACTGTCATCGAGAAGCTCGCACCCAACGGCTTACGTGGAGATGGGCTATTAGGATCCAAGTCCGCGAGCACGTCTGATGGCGCAGGCGACTTAAGTGCAGGACTTGCAAGTGCTTGCCGTACCGTATTGGAGTTGCGTCGATTCTCGAGGGATTCGCGTCTAGCAGTATCGGAAACGCGGCACCCTGACTTGCTCTCTGATGCTCGCTTAAGGAACGCTTCCAGAAGCGCTGTGTCGTCCGAGATGCGAGGTTGCTTTGGCTTCCGAGGTGTCATTTGCGGTTCTTCGGGTGGTGCAGAGGATGATCGTATCGGAAGCTCATCCTGAACGGCAGCTGGAGAAGTGATGCCGGAGAAATCAATCGGCAGAGGTGAAGAGGCTGGGCCGGTGTCTGCTTTGGGCGATGAGTTCGTCTGCGACTCGGGCTGTAGCTCTTGCTCTGAAGGCTTCTTGATTGGCGTGAATGCGACAAGATGTGGCTTTTGGAGTGTCTGTTTGAGGATGCTCCTTCGCTTGACCGGACTGCTCGACTGTCGTTGCCTCCTAGGCGAGCGACGTAGAGGCAGTCTTGGATGCGAACCTTCAATAGTCGGGACTGGGCTGGACGCGAGTTTATTGGGCGAAAAGACGCCATTCTCTTGCTGGTACTCAGTCACAAGCTGTGATTCGGTCGAGGGCGTATTTGGTTCCGTCGAAATGTCGCGAGATGGCTCTGGTGTGATGTTCCTGGTCACATTTGGAGCCTCCTGAGCTTCTTGTTCAATGGTGGCTTGGACCAGCTCTTCATCACCTGGTCGGGCGTCCTCGATTTGATAAGTCGCAGCAGCTGGGTCATCGACAGATTCTGTCTTCTCATTTCCTTCAGCAAGATCGCCGCCTTCTGCTGTTGATCGCTGATCAGCGGGAATCCGTTCCTGCTTTTCGGATGGTGCTGCGAAGCTCGTCGGCAGAGTTCGTCGTCTGCTCGTGTTCCGCTTGGTCTGATTGACGCTACGCCGCCGACGGGTCGCGACTGGAGATACAAATCCTTCTGGGAGCACGACTTCCTCATGTGTCGCCGCTGCGATGGGTGGTTGATCGTCCGTCGGCAGACTCTTGTCTTCATCCTCCTTAACATCGACCAGCTCTGGCGCGTGCTCATTCTGGCGCGCATCTGATTCAATGCTAGCCGTTTCAGCATCTTCTACTGCCAAAGCCTGACCAGTCGTTGTGGCATGCTGCTCTGGCCATGAGGAGGTCACAACGGCATCGCTAGGACTCATGCTCTCTTTTTCGGCAATGGGATCTAGTCGGCACCTTTCCCACGCTTGTTCTTCAGCTTCTTCGTCTTGTCCAAGCTCAGTGTCACTCTCATCTTCCCACTCATCAGCATCAGCGGCTTCTTCATCTTCCACCCTTTGTGAAGCGTGCTCGCTAAGAATGTCGATCGAGGTGCGCTCCACGTCTTCTCCGCCCTCGGCTAGGTCAAAATTTTGCTCGTCCACGTGCGCATCATTCTGGTCTTCATCAGGCAATGCGATGAGATCTTTCTTCCCCAGACTGTTTCTAGTGACGATGCGACGATTGGTGGGGCTTCCTCTGCACTCCCAGTCGCTGACGAGCGCTCCACTTCCAAGAGCATCAAGCGAATCTCGCGCGACACGCATCTTCTTGACAGCTTTTAAAGGTGTGCCTCTGCCAGCATTCTGGCGTATGTTGACACTGAGTGCGGGTGCGAGTGTATTTGCGACAGGCTGGGCATTGGTTGCATTCCGCTTGAAGATCTTTCCAACTCTGAAGCGTCGCCTCGAGAAAGGCGATTGCGGTCTGCGTTCCCACGCGCGTTGCACCTTTGCGAGAGGGAGGTTCGTCGGGGCAAGTCCGGTTGTATCTGTGTTCTCCCAAGCAAATGATGCTGTTTCTGCGGCTGGGCTGGAGTCGGCCAAATCTGCTGTGGTGTCGCGGTCCATAGTGCTACTGGATAGCGATGCTGTATCTGTAATTTGTGCCATGCTCGGCGAGCGACAAGTTGGAGAAGAGCCGGAGAACTCGCGGTGAAGTAGTGGCGAGGCGAGTCGCATTGACATTGACATTGACAGCGCGCGAGCATCAAAACATACAAACGCGCTTGGGTTCGCGCTAGTCAATCAGCACGTGACAGCCCTATCCTCCAAACATCCAACATCCAACCAATAGCACTCCTTTATTAATAATTACTGGCAGGACATGCATGTGATATCTTTGAGACAGTGAGAAAGGCGTTGCGGCGATTGGAGCATAGCGATGTCCAGTGTGCTGACATCAGTAATGGCAGACGTCCCCAGAGCTACTTTGACGCTATTTGACGTGCGCTTTTCAAAAGTGGTGATGTCAGTCAGCGGGTAGCCGCCGACGATCTGTGAGAGCTCGACGCGAGCTATGCATCTGCAGCTGTGCCAAAATCATGCAATTGTTTCTCTTGGCCATGTCCAACCCCTTCCGCTGTATCCTCTCACCACGCTTCTAGTCCAAGCTTGCTATTAAAACATACTGTGATCTGGCCCGGGAAATTGCACCTTGCACCTTCCTCCCCACCCTTCTACAAGTCGACGACCGAAGACAGGAAAGCATTTACAAACTGGCTGAAGACGGAAGCACAATGTCCACCGCGGCTACAAAGCGAAAGCTGGTCGTCTGTGGAGGAAATGGTTTCTTGGGGAGCAGAATATGTAAGGCAGCGGTTGCAAGAGATTGGGATGTGGTATCCATAAGGTATGCCATACTTCGAGAAGCATTGATCATCCATCACTGACTATCGTGTACAGCCGATCAGGTGAACCACACTGGCCATCAGTCTCTTCACATCAGATCGCACCTGCCTGGTCGAAATCTGTGACCTGGCGATCCGCGAACATTCTCCACCCCGACACCTACAAGTCAGATCTGGCAGGAGCACATGCCGTCGTCCACTCGATGGGTATTTTGTTAGAAGCAGACTACAAAGGAGCTCTGACTGGGAAGGAGTCGCCAATTGCAGGACTAAGAAGAGCATTCTCAGCACAAAAGCAGGGCGGTAACTCGAATCCTTTGCAAAAGGGACAAAGAATAGAGCCAGGAGAGAAAGATGGACAGCTCACATATGAGCTTATGAACCGGGACTCTGCGATCGTGTTGGCAAGAGAGGCGAATGAGGCCGGTGTCAAGGCCTTTGGATATATCTCTGCGGCCGCAGGAGCGCCTATCCTACCTGGACGATACATCAGCACGAAACGGGAGGCTGAGAGCACCATTTCCTCCGAGTTCCCAAAGATGCGGAACCTATTCTATCGACCAGGCTTCCTCTTTGATTCGTCAAGGACCTTCACGGTCCCCATGGCTGCAGTCACTTACGCTGGTTTCATTGCTAACTCATTGACTGGAGGCAATCTGACTTGGCTTATTGGCGCAGGCGGTGCAAAGCCTTTGAAAGCAGATCTCGTGGCGGAGGCTGTGGTGGAGGGACTATCCGACGATAAGGTCAAAGGTCCAATCGAGGTGAAGGAGATTGAAGAGCTCGCCAATCGTGCCTGGCGAAGAGGCATGCTCTAAGCAGTATAAACGATCCAGTGCGACTCGTGTTCGGCGCGAGCATAGCCGCGAATCAACCACATCTTTTGCAGCGTTCAAGCGAGGTTGTACAATACATAGATTCAGCCTGAGGGCATACATTGGCTACGCCCAGCCCTCCCAAACTTCCGACGCTCAGGCGGGATCTCTACAAATACACGGCGCTCAGTTGCTATGTGCGAAAGACGAACGACAACTCGGATGTTCGCGACTTCCCTAAGCTACATATGTAGACAAAGGCGCAATGTCACTTCGCCCAATCATTGCGTGCATGTGCGGTTACGTCATGCAGCTTTCACATGTCGACGGCAAAGCAAGTTTCCGAAATGACTGTGACCATATATTGAGAACAGCCATGCAATGGTAGAATACACGAAATGACCGCGAGTCAATAGCCATGGCCTCCTCGATCAAATCAAAAATCTCCCAAGCCACCAGCAGCTCAAAGGCAACATCAGACGAACAAGAAAAATACCGTCTACTCGTAACAGCAGGACCATCCTACAACCTCTCAGCCCACAAAACCGTACAAGTCAACACCGAAACACCAACCTACATCGAAAACGAATTCCTCCGTGCAAAAATCCAAGTCCGAATCCGGGGCTACAGAGGCCTACCCTCATCCTCCCCATCAGAATCCTCGTACTTCAACGACTTGGTCCATAAAAATGACCAATACTCTGTCGGCTTCTCTTTCGTCCCGAAAATTGATATCCCGTCAAAAGATACGGTTTGGGGTAATGATCTCGATCACCCAATCCGAGACAGATTACCTCCGGGTTTCAATACTGCGTTCCGCATCGTGAAAGAATTCATCGATCCTGGTCTCGCGTGTGATGTCTATGCGGACAAACCTTGGTTATATGGGCCTAGTACGTCTTGTTGGTTCGCCTTACGCATCGGCGAGAAGCTCAAGAATGACGATGAAGATTTCCCAGCTCCAGGAGTCCTAACAGAAGGCGCAGACGGTTCTGGCCAACAAGTCCGAGAACAACTCGGTCTACCTTCAAATAATGAAAAACGACGCAAACACTTTCTGAAGGAAAATAATCGTGAGCAATTCATCTTTGAAAAGGGAAGGCTTTACATGGCAGATTTCTATAATCCTTATTTGGATTTCGCGAATTATAGTCTTAAGCTACCGGGGTTTAGTCTCAAGGTGATTAGGTATATTGGGGACAAGACGCATTGTTTGAGGTATGTGTTCAAGCAGAGGGGTGGCGAGGGTGTTTATTTGAACGTTAATATTACGTTGCTTTGGGGAGAAAAGTTGAAGGAGGCGTTGAGGGAGGATGAGGAACAGCAGGCGGGCGAGGGAGCAAAAGAGGAATTAGTTGGTATCGCTGCTGGTGGGGAGGGTGTGAATGGGAAAGCGAATGGAGGCGAGGATGAGGAGGTTTATGAAAGTGCTGAGGAGGGTGCAGAGGATTTATCAACTCCGGCGCCATCGGAAATGCAGCTCCATCCTGGCGATCATACTGCGACAGCTGAGCATACCGCAGCTCAAGTGAGGGAAGACCCAATAGATGAGATTGATAGATTACTTCGCGAGACTTCGACGCAGCAGAAGCGAGAAACATAGACGAGCAAGATCCAGAGCTGGAAGTCAGAGCCTTGAAGCGTTGGAGTTCATAGGAAACAAACGAAGCATCGACGGAAGCGTGGCATTCAAGATCATCTAGTTGTAGACCTTGGCAGAATACCCAGGGAGAACCTCAAGTTCCTTATCAGCATAAGTATAATTCGTGCCTTCAATCTTCGGAGCCTTAGTCCTCCTCTGCTGCTGAGCCTGACGTTTCTTCACCCACTCCTCCACAGTCAAATGCTGACCAAGGCTCGTGAAATCATTGTCCTTGATTCCCAATCTCTGGAGTAGAGGGCTATTGCTGATCGGATCCAAGACGACATGATTATTAGGTCTGCTCCGTCAGCAAAAGTGCAAGTTTTTACGTGTAGAAATCGTGACGTACCTCGCAAAATACAACACACCCAAACGATCCACATGAGCCTGATCATCCGGCGGAGCATGAACACGATGCACACTACTCTTCAAATACCCTCCCGTCAAAGCCGACAACGCATCGCAAATATTGATCGTAATCGTCTCGTCCTGCGGCCGTACCCATTTCCATTCACCCTTGGAATTCAAGATCTGTAAAGCAGCCACAGGCTGCCTATACAAAAGTGTAATACTTCCCAAATCCGTATGTCCAGCAGAATACAACTCCCCAACTTGACGATTCTCTTCGGGAGTCCGAGCTTTGTAGTGCATGTATCGAAGATGGTCTTCGCCTTTGACGTCGTACTCGTGGTCTTTGACCAGCTGATCTTCGTCGGGGAGTTCTAGCATGATAGCGAAAAGTTTGAGGAGTTTGACGACGACCTGGTCATGGCATTTTCGACTGAAAGCCTCAATTTCTTGAATGTTATCTTGAAGGACGGGAGGTTGGGGTCGTTTATGGTATCCGTCGAATTTTGGGAGGTTGTACACTTGGACGTTATCTTTGATGGTTTCGGTCAGTTGACGCAGACCTGCGGGACGATAGCCATTGTATTCGCCACTTTCCAGGTCTGCAAGGTTGTAGTATCTGAGTTTCTCGTCCAAGGGTAAGTCGTAGAATTCCCGTCCCAGGGCGAATTGGCGGTCGACTTCTTCTTGACTGATGCCGAAGTTTTTGACGTAGAAGAAGCCGACATGCTGAGCTGCGTAGGAGAGTTGGTCGACGAGTTTCTGTTTGCCGTCAGGTTTGTCGAAGAGGCTGAGGTCGAGGGTCACTAGTTCGGCCCAGTCGACTGTGACATATATCAACGAGGCATTGAAGTTTTATCGTGGGAGCTGACTTACGATCAGCTTTAGTCTCTGGGACCTGCTTGTAAGGCGAGATGACTTTTCCAGGCATCGTGGTGCTAGATCTGACAATTGCTCAAACCTTTTCGATGCCACAACAGGAGAGAGGATGCTTGATATGAGTGCTGAGCTCCTCATTGTGACTTAACTACTCTCCGCCCGAGTATGTGCCGACAAGCCGAGTGCCTGCATTAGTCCTCTGAGAATCCGCTATGGTGTCAAGAACCTGAGCTCGCACACCATTGATAGCTTGTCAAGCATCCAAACAGAATTAAGCCTTGGAGATGAAGCCCCGTATTAGCCTCGAAGACCGCGTGAGACATAGTGTAGGCAGGATCAAGTCAGCCGGGCACTACTGGTACATTCATTGATGGTATCGTACATGGGTTGCGCTCATCAAGCGACGTCCTCTCGCTTACCTTGACTTGTCGCGCATGAACGGTATCCGATTGAGCTCGCCCTTCGTCTGCAAAAACGCTTATCCATCCAGAGCACAAGAAACCGGAGCGTACGGCGGCCAGTCCTAAGCCTTTTCCTCTCCTTCTGCAACATCTCTTCCAGTTTCTGAGCTAGGCGGACGTCCTCTGACCTTCTTAAACACCTCTCTCGTGACAGGAGCACCTCAGAGTGACTGTCGCTCAACTGCGAAGTTCTTTGTCAATTCGCGGGTGGTACGTAGCGTGGTCTTTGGCAGCTTGGCATAGTTCTCCGACTCATTCGTGATCATGGTAAGCGATCGAGTCTCGATGCAGGGGTAGAGCGCTCTGCTAGACTGCTACCGTACAGTCGCAGAAATGGAGGGAGAATGGGAGATGGAAATGAGCGACAGGAATAGCAGCCACGCAAAGCCGAAGACGGACCGCCTTCCGCAACCCCTTCCATCAATGCATCAATGATCATTCTCTCTCCAGACCCTTTGTGCTCGTTGCAGTCAAGGTCCGTAAATATGGATGTTATTAGCCATCATCATATTAACAGAACTCCATCATCCTTCCATTATAACAATTAGAATACAGCGATGGGCTTATTAGACATCCGCCTCCTGTCCAGTGTCTCAAAGGTGTGCTGTTGGTGCGAGGCCTCCTTCATCAACCACTACCACACACAGTTATACTTGCCGCGTCAAAGTCAATATATGAACCTTGCTTGATCGGACATCCGACAAGGTTGAAGGTTCCAAGGCCGATGCCATACATGGATCATGGCATGTGGGCGCACGAGGGAAACAAGTTACTGCTGAAAGCGTCACCATGGTCGGCGCCGCCTCCTCTACGACGCCATGTAAGTGAGAGGAGTTCACCGGCCGCAAGATATGCAGGTATGAATAGCGCACTAGAGACCGCCTCCACAAGATGACACACATCTCGACACGCCCGAGGACACAAGGCCAGTGGGAGTTCACGGAAACACTCTTGAAACGTTTACAGGAGTCGTCCGAAGACCAGCTGCCAGCGACCATCGATGGCTTTTTCACACAGCATGGCATCAGGCTGACGCAGCATGCCTCCGGACTTCCTTCGCTGGCGAACAATCTCTCTGGGCAGCTTCACCCTTTGCTGAGCGACAACATACGGCGACTGGACTTGCATGTGAAGGTTTCGCTGCGACCAATACATAATCCTACGAGCGCATACGGTAAGCTTGTCCACGTTCTTAGTCCACGAAAAGCTATGATAGTATATCTACTAACTAGAATAGATCGCAACTTCCAGGTGGTTGATCAGCACATCGAGCGCTTGTGGGACAATGTGCCGATGCTCTTGTCACAGCTCCCACGTCTCAGGCAGTTCTCCTTAACTCTTGATAGTCTCTTTGACTCGACTCCACGCCCAAGAGACTACCAGAGACTGAGGCTCTTCCGCAATAATCGACTATGGGGAAGTAGGTCAGAAAACCTGCAGAACTCGGATTTCCAAGAGAAGGCCACAGCTGTGTTAATTCCCTTGCTGAGAGGACTGGCGAGAGGCAAGGAACTCGACAGAGTTGCAATCAGACATGTGCCGGTCGCCACGCTCAATCAACTTGAAGTCATAAGCGGCGAGCACCTGAGCGATGAGGAAGTAGCAAGAGCGTTCCTGATCATGCCGGGCAGAGAGGTCGTGCTCAAGGGATTGGAACTTGGCCGCAAAGACTCGTTTCTCGACCCTCCAATCCCAGACTCAGACAAGCCGCCTCCTCCTCCAGCGAAGACCATAAGACCTTACAAGTCAACTCCTCACTTACAGTCAAGTCCCAAAGTCTACAAACCTCGACAATTCTCGGAGTGCTAGGATCGAGAGGGCGCGAATCGAGTTAGTTCCATGCCTGTTCTCGAATTCAGAAAAACCGCGGACGACTGCCACTCATAGGGGGTAGTCATGGTCTGAGCTACATCACTGTTTTAGTGCGTGACACCAACCTACAGCTAATGTAAAAACAATAAGTTTATGGACTCCACGAATATGTACATAGCACAATGCAAGCGTCTTACTTCGCGTCTAATCGCGGGCTTCTGAACAACAGCGATCGGTGCCATCATGTTCTTCTCTTGCGAATAAACTTTCACCGGATCATTGGTGTCATGAGCGAGTTGACTACCTTATCAACGTGGTGTTGAGTTGTGTTGATGTACAGGGTGTATTATGCATTCGCGAAGCCGGTCGGAGACTAGATTGAGAACCGTGCCAATGCCCCCTTGTTTTTGTTCATATGTTGTGGACGGACTTCTGCGAAGATCACGGTAGATCGGCCTTCAACGAGTAGGCGGGAAGGAAGCACTACTGAGCGGCTTCACGAATGCATATGACACCCTGTATTTCCAATTCCTCTTCTCTTTCTCGGCCCATCGGATTAAAGTTTAGCGCGGCGTTTGACGCACATTGTTAAGCTCTCACCTTTGTGTTGATGCTTAGAAATATCGACATCACAGGTACGCAAGCTCCTCACTCACAGCTTGACCCTACCTGCCCTGCCTCAGCCGCGTAGCAAGGTACCGGAAAGCTCTTGCTTCTGCTTTTGCATAAGGTCAATATATAGGTTTGTCCTGGTGCTTCCCCTCACATTCATGTTTCGTACACTTCTACTACGTCGACAGCAGACAGCCAGCCACGTTCTCAAAGACACCACTACAGGCACAGGATTACTTGCAAAGCAGCCATTCTCGACTACGGCCGCCAAAAAGCAGAATAACGATAGCATGTCTGACGACAGGCCGACGGGATTGATTGCCAAGAGTGGTCTTGAGCTGCTGACGTTCGGCACTCCCAATGGTATGCGTGGCGATAGACAGCGGATCTTTAAGAGCTCATACTAATAAACCTCAGGCCACAAAGCGACCATTGTCCTTGAGGAGCTGAAGGAAGCCTACGGCAAGCCAGACTATGTTTTCCAGAGCATAAACATTGGACAGAACATCCAGAAAGAGCCATGGTATACAGAGAAGGGACCTAATGGTCGCATTCCGGTCCTTGTCGATCACGACAATGGCGACCTAGGCATCATGGAGGGTTTGGCGATCCTGTCGTACTTGACGCGACACTTTGATCCAGAGCACAAGTTCTCCTTCACGAAAGACCCGGAGCTCTCTCTCTGTGAACAATGGGTTGCCTGGCAACATGGCGGTCTTGGACCTATGCAGGGACAGGCAAATCAGTGAGTAGGAGGGTTCCTGAGACATAGCACTATTGCCATACTGACGATGGCAGCTTTTACCGCCTTGCGAAAGAGCGTATCCCATACCCTACCCAACGATATGTCGGCGAGACAGAGCGCTTATATGGCGTGCTTGACATCCGGCTCAAAGGCCGTGACTATCTGGTCGGCGACAAATACTCGATAGCAGATATTGCCAACTTCTCCTGGGTCAATGTAGCCTACTTTGCCGGAGTTGACCTCGACCAGTTCCCGAACGTGTACAAATGGTGGGAGAGAATCAATGCTCGTCCTGCGGTCCAGAAGGGCATCGCGATACCAAACAAGCCGACATTTACGAACGAGGTGTATAAGAAGCGATTGCAGGAAGAGCCGGAATTCAAGCAGAAGGACGATGAGCTGAAAGAGATTTGCAAGAAGGCCAAGGAGCAGTACAACTACAAGTTTTCAGCGCCATAGAAGTGAAAAGGCAGGGCAAGACGAAAGCGATCAGAGAGATGAAGGGTCTCAGGCCGGTCGCGTCAAGGGCAGGTGTAAAATCAGCACCTATGAATCGATACAAACAATAATTCTGCTGCGCGCTTCAGATCATTTCGTTCCCAGAACTTCTGATTTGTAGGACTCGCGCATTACATTCGCTCCTTCAACGGAGCGTACGCATGCGCCAAGGGTTGCTTGACAACTTGAGTCTCAAAGAGCTTCGAGAGCGGAGAGCTTGAGATCATCGTCGTTGCATGATGAAGGATCAAGGCACTGTGATTTACCTCTGTAGCGTAATCTAGACCCAATGCCTGCCTGGACTTTAGCAAATGCACAAGCTCTTAGCTTGACAGCGAATATCGCAAATGCTAATCAGGCGTCCTAAGTGGTCCATTGCGGGAATCCGGATTGTTCAGTACTGTACATCAACGTCAAACAAGTAAGCTGCATTCTGCATGAGCGGTGGGTGGACTTCCCGCACTGCGGTGGACTCTATTCCCATGTTGAGCTGTGATGAGTTAATCCTTAATATGTATGCAGCAGTAGACACAAAGCTTATTTGCTGACGGAGGGTCCTATCCAAGGTTCATATCCAGCTGTATCGCATTCGCTCGTTGCTCGAGGGAATATTCCAGCGTTGTGTTCCTAAAGGCGAAGGAGCTGCATTGGTCCCAGATGCATGCTGGAGGCTCTTGAGAAACCATGTGGCACAGTTTTGGCTCGCGGATTTTCGAAGGAAGCTTCCCGTGGACTTTACCCGCTGCTTGTTCCTGGTCGATTTTGAGCTTCGTCTGCAGGAGTCTATGGCTATTGTCAAGGCCAGGGAACGAAAGGATACCGTATGTCACGAAGACGCTGAATCGAGCAATTTCAAACGTGAGCTGCGGCCGTAATCCGGCATTACTCAGCCTGTCCGGAGTTTTTCCGAACAGAAAAAAATGTTGAACTCGTTCAGTGTTTGTGCCTGTTGTGAGACCTAGAAGCCGTGATGGCTTTGCTTGAGATATCATGCTTTTCGGTGGAGAGCGCGATACTTGCTGCGAGAGCAGGCGCGGACCGAATCGAGCTCTGTAACGAGCAGAGTGAAGGTGGCACCACGCCGCCGGCAGACTGGATCGCTCAAGTAAAGGCAGCCGTCGATACGCCCATGTTCGTTATGATCCGGCCACGCGGCGGTGCCTTCCAGGTCAATGATGCGGAGTTCGAAACGATGAAGGCATCAATTGACGCCTTCAAGAATCAAGTCGCCGGGTTCGTTTTTGGCATATTGGATTTGGACGACACAGTGGACATTGCTCGAACAGCAGAGCTTGTTCAAAGAGCGAAGCCGCTGCCCTGCACCTTCCATAAAGCTTTCGACCAGACTCCGAATCTCCTCGCCGCCTTAGAAGACGTCGTTAGGACAGGCATCAGTTTCGTGCTCACATCGGGAGGAGCACCTAATGCGCTTGCAGGTGTGCAGCCACTGAGACAGCTTGTGACCGCGGCTCGGAATCGGGTGACCATTCTCACTGCTGGAGGCGTGCGCCTGAATAATCTTGCTCAGATTCGACAGTCCTCCGGCGCGAAGGCGTTTCACTCGTCGGCCTTGGATCGAGGCAGTCTGTTACCAAATGTCGAGGACATTCGCCAGATGAAGCGAATGCTGTCCGTGGAAGTGGCTGATTCTGCTGCAGCTGATGAGGGCTCTCAAGAATAGATGAGGTTGGGGAGGCCGACAGCGCGACCTCGAATGGATGTGGATGTCACGCATGGCCGAACTGCGTCGATGGAAGACATAGTGCCACATTCGCCAGGTCGACAGTCTGGCAGGCGCTACATAGATGGACGCAACCGCCATACTTCATCAGAAGTGTGGGTTTTGGGAATAGAAAAGGGTGATGATAGAGAAGCTTGACCCCTGCTCAACGAGCCTACAAGGACCAGGTAGATAGCGGAGGACGACGACGACCCACTGCACAGTGCACAGTCAGCAAGGCATTTTGACAGAGCATTGCATGATGACTGTCTTGGCTGATAACACTGCCGACATGGTATCTTACATACGAAGCAGAAAGAGCGGCGAACACCCTCGAGCTGAGATGCTCAGCAACCAAGTTTCGACCCGAACCAGCATCATTGTACGTCTGTAATCCAGGATTCTGACAGATCCAATACGTTAAGACTGTCTTGCCTCACGCACCAAAAAGTGCGCTCTCTGTCGTAACATCCTCGTCAACATTACACCTACTCCGCGACCCAGACTGCCGCCATTCCCATGCCTGTACCGACACACATGCTTGTTAGACCGATCTTCTTGTTGGTTCGCTTCAGCTCGTAGAGCAACGTGCTGACTTGTCTTGCACCAGTGCATCCAAGAGGATGGCCAAAGGCAATAGCTCCTCCCTTGGGGTTGATCTTGCTGTGGTCCAAGCCAAGCTCATTGGCACACCACAGACACTGGGACGCAAAAGCCTCGTTTATTTCATAGATGTCGACATCATCCTTCGTAATGCCAGCCTTCTCCAGCGCAACGGGAATCGCCTTCCAAGGACCAATGCCCATGAGAAGTGGTGGTACACCGACGATCGAGGCAGTAACGTACTTGCCCATGACCTTTTGGCCCAGACGCTCAGCGGTGCTTCGCTTCATGAGCAGAACTGCTGCAGCTCCGTCCGATATTTGTGAGGCGTTGCCTGCGTGGATGGAACCATCCTTTGCGAATGCAGCCTTGATCTTTCCCAATGACTCTGCGGTCACTTCACGCACGCCGTCGTCGCGGTCAACCACTAGCTCTTTCTCTTCTTCAGTCTTTGGGTCTTGCCATTTCGCCTTCAATGGGTAGATCTCTTCCTTGAACAAGCCTTGCTTCTGCGCATCCATTGCCTTTTTGTAGCTGTTGGCGGCAAACTTGTCCTGCTCCGCCCTGCTGATCTTCTTGTCCTTGGCCATCTGCTCACTGAGAAGTCCCATGGGAACTTTACATTCCGCAGCAGACTTGTGGTTTTCGAGAAGCTCGCTGAACTCAGTCACGGCCTGTGGGCCATATTGTGTGGACATGCTCTCTACACCAGCTCCAATGCCAACCTCAATCATGCCCGCACGGATGGCGTTGGCGATCTCTGCGCAAGCTTGCAGGCCAGAACTGCATTGTCTGTTCAAGCTCTTCACTGCCGTAGTCTCTGGGAAGCCAGCTGCCAACGCTGCGGCGCGGAATTCAGTGGCACCGCCGCCAGGAGCGAGGACACATCCCACAGAAATGTCCTCGACTGAGCTCGGGTCAATGCCAGATCGTTCGAGGAGACCCTTGAAGGCGCCGTGCAGCAGATCGGCTCCTGCAGTGTCCTTGAAACCTCCACGACCACCTTTCGTGATTGCTGTGCGCAGCGCAGCGGTCACGACGATGTCATCAGGGTGCTTTTCGAGGAGTGATGGTCTTCCTGATGGCTGCATATGTCCGGCGACTTGTGAGATGCGCCCTTGGGCAGCGGAGTTTGTACCTGCTTGGTTTGCCATGATGTTAAGTTGGGTTTGAAGAGGAAGATGGAGAAGGAGAGTTAGGAGGTACGATTTTACACACTACATGTACCGATTGCTCTCTGGTGGTCATCACCTCCACATGACCATAGAGGCATAGAAGGAGCCTCGGACATGGACTGCTTTGTCTTGTGAAAAACGGGCCTCGGTCGTCGTCACCTGATGACGTCTCACGGTGCACCTCAAGTTCGATGCAGATGCCGTCTACGACGCAGCCCAGTGTCAAGCAGTGTAGACTGACATGCTTTGTTGGACGTTCGCGAGCTGAATGATGTGAAGTTCACTGCAAAATGTTCTCTAGCGGCCACCGACGGTTCAGACGACAAGGGTGCAGTGGACTCAGTCATCTCCGGGTACTGTAAATAATGTCCATCGTCGCTCCAACTTGGAAGTGACCTATTAACCAACCCTCCGTTATACTACGCCGCCGCCCTCGTGCAGTTTTGCTGGACCGGCCACGCGATACTATTGTTTGCGTTAAGGTTGAGAATGCCAAGAACCTCGTGACCGCGATGCCTGTCTATACTATTTCTTAGTAATCAGGTCGATAGAGTGTAGTTTTATCCTTACACCGCTTTTAAGATGTCTCTATTAGGCAGTATGCCTATAGAGATAGTATATATCGTCGCTACCGTCTATATTGCTAGCGATCTTTTGCTTATATACTACCTCTTAATAGCGCTAAAACTACCGAAGAAGGGCGTAGATGCCGCGCCGTAGGCACGAGCGAGTTAATCGCGTAAACTAGTCGAGAAGGAGCTACCGGCTTATAAGGAGGCTATTATAAGGCGCGAGTCGCTGAAGAAGAAGATAAAGAGGTCGGCCTCGGCGGCTTTAAAGAAGTTTAATTAGGCTTACGCATTCGATACTTCGGCGTATAGAGAGGTCTCGGAGTACTTAAAGGGCGCATCGGCAGCGATTAGTAATAATAACAGTAATAGTAGTAGTAGTAGTAGTAGTAGTAGTAGTAAGGGCAGTAATATAGAAGGTAAAGTCGCGCCTAGCAAGTTAACGACTATAGGCGAGGCGCCTAGCAATAATTAGTTAGCGTAACGGCTTATAAACTAGTAGTTAGTAGATAAGGAAGATATCGAGACTGCCTCGTACGACTCTTATAATAACCTCTACTATAAACAGTGTTAGCGCCTTCTTAGCGGCAATTAGGTCCTTAGAACTAAGAATAAGGAATAGAATAGTGCGGCTACTTAGCCTACTAAAGATGCTTTCTACTAAGTAGTAGATAAAGCTAAGAAACAAGGCCTCTTTGTTAGAAGCTATATGTTAGTTGTATCCGCTACGAGTGTAAAGAAGGCAGAATAGTTCTACTAAAGTTAGAAGCAGAATAGTAAGTAAAACGGCTATTCGAAGAGCGTTTCTATACTAATCTCTCGTAGCTAAGGATTATAGCAAAGCACTTAATGCTACTCTTAAATTTAAATACGAAGGTCGAGACAAGGTCTATATTAATATCGAGTTTAAAACAGTAGCGAAGGACGCCCTCGCTAGCGCTGTTCTCAAAGTTAGTAAACTAAAGCTAAACGACTAACAAGCTATCGATAGTCTTACCTATATTGCAGAAGAACGAAGGTTAGGCAATTATAAGACTAAGCTCTAAGCTAACTATATATACACTCTTAGCAACTGTAAGAACTATAGTAGCTATTGCTATTATCCTAAGAACACGCTAAATACGGAGACATATTACTACTAGTTCTATAGTGAAGCTTTAAACCTATAGTCTTACGCCCTTACTATAAAGCAAGAAGGAGTAACTCTAAAGAAGCCGCCGGAGTTAGCTTTTATAAAGATAAAGGATTATAAGGATAAGAAGCTTAGTAGCAGACTAAAGGGCTGTTCTAATAGCATGCTAGCTAACTTAAGGATACTAGAACTTCCTTAAACACTAGCTTAACAACGAGGCCGTTCTACTATTGATCCTAGAGCTATTGTCCGAGAGACTATATCGAGTCTGCTTCTAGTCCTTCGTAGCGGCTTAGCTAAGCCTGCTATCGCTTAACCTAAACCTTAATCTAAGGTTATAGCAGAAGAATCGCCTGTTCTAGTATACGTTGCAGTAACGCTTAGAACGCTAATCTTAAGCCTAACTCGTTAGTTCTTTAAGTATGCTATAAAGCAGCACGAATAGTCTAATCTAGAAGAAGTTAGAGACTTTAAGAAGATAGAGTTACATTTCCTTACTAAGAAATAGGACTGTAATTAGATAATGCGTGTCTCTAAGAAGTACTAGAAGGAAGAACTTAGCTTCTTTAAAGGCTATAGACGTCGGTTGCTTGATACGTTAAAGCGTTTCTAGAAGATAAAGCTGTCTAAGAGGGCAGAGAAGTGATGCTATTTAAACAATAATAACGACATTTATAACGGAGCAAAGGTTGGTCTCGCTAGTTTATATTAGTGTAGGGTTTATATAGTATCTAGAAATTAAGTAGCTTACTATTTGCTCCGTTACGTGTGTCTCTATTATCGCTACCGCCCTTCGAATCTCCTTACAAGCGGAGAGCTTTGCGCGGGGCTTAGCATTCCGCACTACTTCTTCGAAATTCGAAAACATCCGCTATACTGCTCGGATTATAACTAAATTAATAGCGGAGCTTCGTCTAGATAATGTCTTAATATTGCCGATTTTTAATAATGTAGTTTAGACGTAAAGTAGTAGTATTATACGACTTAGAGGTAAAGGTAGTCAAACTCGAAGCCTAGCTCCGTCGCTTCCGTATTAAAGTCGTATACGCCGTCGATATTATATCTACTATGCCTAAAGAGTCCGGTTATATTAAGGCCGGCTATATACTTAAGAGCCTATCTAAGGAAGTTAGCAAAGCATTCAAAGTCCTTCTGCATTTGCTTGTTCTTCTTTAGCTATCTTTTTAGTATATTGAAGGTCTATTCTATTAGATTAAGGTCTAGCGAGTATAGCGGCAAGTACTCTAATCTATAGCCGGCTAACAGTATTATCTCTTTAACCCTCTCGCTATAGTAGATCGAGGCGTTATCTATTATAAAGATCATCTCTTTACCTTCAATAAGAGGCAGTACTTTATTCTCTAGCTAGTTATTAAAGGTAACCTAATCTACGGCGCCTTCTATATAGAGGGTACAATTAAGATAGCTATTAATCGTTAAAGCCGGCAATATTAAGGTGCGTCGTTGCCTTTGCGCGTACTAGAAATCGTAGCAATCTATGCCCTTTAGAGACTAACTATACTTCCGGTAAGCAGTCTTCTTATTAGAGGCCGTCTCGTTAAGGAATATTAGCTTATCTATAGGCTATTTCTAGCTCTTAGTATACTATACGGCTCTTACTATCGGATTGCGCTCCTTCGCGACCTGCTTTGCCTATTTCCGAGTCTATTCGAGCCGATTAGTAAGCGTACGCTATACGCTCGAAGGATACAGTTCTACGCTAAACTCGTTATATAATGCTATATATATCTCTTCGAGATATGAGTCCGGTCGATTAGATAGATATTCTATTAACTACTAGTCTATTTCCGGCGTTAACTTCTTTATACGGCGCTTTACCTTCTTCTTCCTCTTCTTATCTAGTTTAGGCGATAGCGGTAGGGTCGGACCTAGTATATATACCTCTCTAAATAGCTTATAACACTTCCGCTATCGATATATCGTCGCTATACTCGCACTAGTCTTCGAGATAATAGTTAGAACGTCAAGATTGGCTTCGAAATATAATACGGCGAGTTTGGCGGTCTTAGAGGGCAGGCGGCCTAGTATACCGGCGTAAAACGACGCGAGGAAGGCGCTAAACACCTATAACAACACCTTAGTATACATATTTAACGGCTATACTATCAACAAGGACAACAATTCAGTATTAGGGCGAGTGTGCGCAGAAATGGGACGATTTGGCTGATTTACTAGCAAAATTATAGTAGGGTTTCCCAGGTCTTGGCATTCTCAACCTTAACGCAAACAATAGTATAGAGCAAGCCACGATCGCTTCCTTCCACAAGATATCCTTTGAATATTCTAAGGCTGTAGGCGCTCCGGAATATCTCGACCCACCGATCTTCCCAGAACCAACGCGTTTCTTCACGGCAACAGTGTAGGCAATGATGCGTGTGCAGATGTCCAGGCACCAAGAAAAGGTCCAAGAATACTGACTGAGCTCGTAAGGCGCATTCATCGATAGCTCAGCTTCCATGGAAGGCTTCATGTGTTCCTTCATGCAGCTGAGCAAGCGATTCGCCTGTGGTTATACACTGATTTCTACTGTAGCCAAGAGTCCATGTCGACTTTGGCACGGACCATTCTGTATTGCTCCTTCAGGATTGGATTCCTTCCTTCGAATCAACTCAGGGCAACCTTAACATGCAAGCCACCAAAGCCTGACAGCCGCTGAGAAAGTGCCCTGTCAGCCTCTTGACCCTTGCGTGCGTTCACTCCATTTCGTACAAGAGTGTCGAGCCTTATTAGAAGCTTGTCTCAGCTCGGCCGTCAGTATACACGGCCTTCATATAACCCAAGCCTTCCGCGCTTCTCCCATATACGAGACGGCAACCTTCATTGATCGTGCCACAGCATAAAATTCGGCACTTCAGCATCCTCTACCGCGTGGCAATCTGCCAAGGCCCTACATTGATCGTTCGATCGGACAGGCTCGTACGCGTGTCATGAGCACAGCTCGGACTAATCTGCATTGTGGTGGCAACTCTGCGGCGAAAGGTCCCGTTATATCTGGACAAGATCGTGTCACTTAGCATCGACGCTCAGACACTACATGCACTCGGTGGCACGACCGAGCGAACCGCGATGCCGACTGCCACTCGAGACCTCTATCATGTCAATTCAAAGCTTCCCAAGATACATACAGCATATCAGATCACGATCCCGAGGCCTCCCTCGTCACCATCGCCAATGTCAGCCATGAAGTTCCCTGCAATGCCCTTGGGATCGTCAAGAGAACTGCCGATGCCCACTGTCTCGAGGATTCAAAGTCTCGGACAGGCACAAGCAACATTGCAACACTGCTTTGCAAGATTGTCCAGATCCTGGCAGAATAGCCCGACACGATCCTCGCCTCCAGAATCACCCGTTGACGCGAACGAAAGACGTCACTTTCAACAATGGCTCGAGCAGTGGGAGCAGGCGTTCACGAGCTACCTATCAATGTCGATGGCTGGCATGAAGACTGCCGATGTCACCCGATGTCGCATTCTCAAGGCAAACCACCTTTGCTGTACCATTCTCGCGTCGGATGGAGGATCTGCCAGGGCATTCGATGGATTCGATGCTGAATTCCAAGCAATTGTTGAGCTAGCGGGTGCAGTGTTGCAGGCACGGCCAAGATCGAATGCTTCATCGAGTTCTGAATCCCCGACAGAATCAACGCCAGTTTCGAGCACGCTCGATGTGCAAGAACCGCTCTACGTCGTCGTTGCTCGATGCAACAGAATCTCAACCCGAAATACGGCGCACGAGCTGCTACAGAAGACTAGTCAACGCTGACGACATTTCACGAAAACTCTTCTGGTTGACACACTGCATCATGGTGATGCAGTCATGCGATTGCGTACCATATCCCAACTCAGTATGTGTGCTTTCAGCACATGGACCGGCAGGATTCCGCGCTCTACCATCGAACGTCTAGGGTTGCTGGTCAACTGCTAGCGCATCCTCCAGCTTCAGTTTGCCATGTGGAGTATGCTTGGCCGAATAAGGCGGACATCTGTTCCCTTTACCGTGCGGCTTCCTGAATTGCCATCCGATGCACATCAACTTCTCATAGGCTGCGGGCACCACGAACTCAGCTGGAGAACCAGAGCCCTACCTCCCCAAGCGCTGTGGCTGCATAAACACGGCGGCCGATGGCAATGCTGCAGCCGATGCAGAATTTTCAACCGAAAGAGACTTTGCCGGAAATCCCGAGCTGCAGGAGGCGCAACGTGAGAATGCGAAGCGAGCGGCGTAGATGTGGCTACATACCTGCCTTACGAGGCATCGGCATACCGTTCGCATTACTGTCCTTCAGACTTCAGTGCTGCAGTGCTGGACGCCCGACGGGATTTCACTATGGACATTCCGACCGTGAAAATTTCCTGAACTGGCAATTCTTTCGGATCAAGGTCAGGCGTTGCGTTTTGCTATGCGTTTCTGGGACAGGATTGCTATCATTGCACGCAAGATTAACTACATGTGTATACTTTGTTGCGAGCACCGCATTTTGAATCGCCCCGAGGAATGTAGATCATGATAGTATCGGAGTGCAAAGGGCTATCAAGTAAATGTCGAGTGATCAGATACATGCGGAGAATGTCAAGTGTCAGCGACCGTGATGCTCTAATTATGAAGACCATTACCATTCTTGGCAGCTGATGCACATTCGCTCACGTACACATTGAGCATGATTCCTAGCGGTCTGCTAATAGCTAATACGCAGACCACAATGACACACCGGGATCCCCAACTCGACTGCTGGAAAATCTTCTTGACAGGCACGACAGGATTCATGGAAAGCGGCAAGTCATGCGTAGGTAGGATGAGGGCAATGCAGCTGATCAACATCACAGAAATCCAGCTAGTGAGTGGCGGAGACCATCTTCAATTACCGTCATCAAATCTCAGACCGATTACATCCTCTCCTTTGTGTACACTTGTACGACGGGATATTCGCCTCGTGCATGTGACCACCAGACAATCCTCCACAGCACATGCCACCATTGACCGGCCGCCGCTTCCACCCGATCTGATCATACCACCACTGGGAGGTACAGGATTCGCTTTTCACACCTACCAATACAATCATCACGCAGCACGTCCACCCTATTTGTTGAAACATCAGTGCCTCGAGCGTATCGCACAAAGCCAGGGACAAGATATCGATCCCCATCCTATTGACGATGCTTGAGATGCCCCAATCCCATCATCACCCCGTACCTGCAGCCCTACAGAGGCCCAAGCATCGTTGGCAAGGCTCCAGGCTTAAAGAAGAAAGGCCATCCTGCTCAAGATCGGCGACACCGAAATCTTGTGAACAGACTGGTAGGAATAGTGTCTGATAGGGGAGCTGAGAAATCACCATGTCGCTGTACATACCTAGGGCCAAGACCAAATTGAAGGAACGAAGGAAGACAGCTCGGGACGTGCCGGCGTGCATTACTGCGTATGTCACGCTTACTGGCGAGGAGGCTCTCTGGTTGTTCAGGATTCAAGTGATGATGCATAGGACTTCAAGAGCTTCGCGTTCTAAACGCAGGCTTATTTTATGGGAAGGGCTCTCGTTCACAGGAACACCATCTTCGTCTTCGCTTGGGATTGCATAAGCATATTGATCCTCCAGGAGTATGGGCATGTGGCGTATTTCCACGGGGTCATGTCTTTAACGTCCTGGCGATGCTTCGAATCATCATCAGCAGGTGCCTTGACGATTGACGGTGGTCCAAGCACAGCAGCTCTACAAACCAATTTTTCAAGGCCCTTCCGTGGTTACAGCGCGTCTGGATCGAGATTTCTGATCGTTGTTTCGAAGAGCCGCCAGGATCAAGAAATGAACCAGGATTTCATGATGAGCTTACACTCCACGAAAGCGCTTGCGCATACCAGCCGCAGGAACATGACGGAACTGAGTGAGCGCTACGCGGGAAGGATTTGTTTTGGAGGCACCACGGAGGTCGGGATCGCAAATTGTTTCCGACTTACACTCCATCTTGAAATAGTCCTTGCTGCTTCATGACCATCAGTCGACGCTTTAGTACAACTCAGCAGCATCAGCACACTCGTATTGCATGTGCAGGGCGCCGGAGATGCATGTAGTGAAAAGATCAGCGGGAGGAGTGATCATTTGGATGCCAAGATGGATGAGGGTAATCTAGTTCGCCATATCAGCCGCTTTGGGTGCAAAGGGCCTCTCTGCTGATGACACTCACCTCAGGACTGATGATGACTCTTGCGGTCAGCTGTGCACCGGTGAGGCTAGAAGCCGAAGCTGAGAACCAAGCGAAGCCAGCTCAGCCTCCCACAAGCGAGTTATTCGCATCAGGCTGCAAGACTACGAGCGACGCACATCGTCACTTGCCAATTTGAAGGCGATCAATCCAGCTCCGCGAGTCCGCCCTACCAAGCTCATCGATTGCCTTCACTTTCTTGTCCAAGTTGCCGGTCCTCTTCTCCTTGACGCTATGATACCACACAATCCAGCCACCGAGCATGACAAGCGTCAGTGGAACTGTAATGACCCAGAATATCCAGAAGCATGTTGCGACCTGCAAAGATTTCTGGCTTGTGTCAAAGTCCACAGAAAAGAAGGGCGTACTGAACAGCGACGCGATGCCCGTCAGAGGGAGAAAGATGAGGGTCAATACCGCAATAGCCTTCATTGCATTACTGTCGTTCTGCATTACTCGACTGTCCTGCTGCGTGACCAGGTTGAAAGAGAGGCTGATAATGTTTGCCATTCGCTTCTCCAGAGACCGGATCCTAAGCTGTGTCGATTGTAGTGCCAACTTTCGACAAGTAAGATGAGATAATGCGGCGTCGGTCATTGATGCCGATATGACCAGGCGGTGACTGCGAAGATGCGCAATCATGCTGTCCACGCTAAGAATGGCGGCTTCTGTCGCTTCGCTGATGTAAATGCAGTGTTTGGAAATGTTGTGCAAGCTCGCAAAATCGACTGACTGTGCCATGGCAGAGCTTTCTTTTACACCAGTCCGGTCTAGTGTCGATCGCTCGACCGGACGGAAAACATCCGCAAGTGTCCAAGCAATAGTGTCAAGTTGAGTATAAAGGTCTTCGTAGACAATGGAGAAGAGCAAGAAGGGCTCTTTCACAACATCAGTCCAGCTAGCATTCCCTAGCAGGCGATTGAAGCGCTCAACGAGAGGTTGAGAGGCGCCGAAGCAGAGTAATGTTACGCATTCAGAGCCATCGCTTCGGTTGCGAACGTGGAGAAATGCATCGCATCTACGCCATCGGGGACCGTCTGTGGCCGCTTTATCAGTGTATGGACTCCTCCGAGGTTGATTTTGGTGCCAGTGGGATTTGACGTCTTTGCAAAGGAAATGACTCCAAGCGATCTCGACAGCAGGAGTCATCGTGCTCCGGCGCGCACCAAATGCATGCGACACGGCCTGAATGCGATCGGAGAGAAAGGAGGTCGGAAAGTCGTAGTGCCTGAAGATGGCCTGCATAGCATTGAGCTCGACCAGCTGAGTCGCACTCAATCGTGCTACAATCACGCGAAGATCGCAGTGCGGACTTCTGTCTCTGGTGATCAATTCAGCTGCTGAATCCACAGCGACCTCGGCGGGTCTGTGGGCGCTATCTGAGAACCATTCAAACAGGCGTAGATGGATGGATTCGTCCTTTGGACATCCAGCCAGGGCGCCGAAATATTCGTCCCACTTAGACTCATCCTCGCAGAATGCCGACATGTTGTAGAACTATGGATTCACGCTCGCTCGCCAACGTCAGGAGAGGCTCATGACAATCTAGCATGGTCGAGGACAGCCATGTGAGGCTTTGTAGTGACGGTGTGGAGAGGGCTGAAGCTGACGCCCACGCGGTCAATATTCTAGGCTAATGGCAGTGATGCTGATGAATGGTGCCTCAGGATGCGACTTCGACGCTGAGGTCGAGCCGGGGAGACTGCGGGCGTGGAGATGAGATGCATGAACAAACGGCGTTGAACGATACGCGAGGCCCAGCGCGTCTGGCGCGGTGCATTGAGTTGCGAGGCCGTTGGTTTGTGTCGCGCCGAACCGCGTTGACTTCAGAGGCTCCCATACTGCTCCGCGTCAGGCATGATGGAAAGTCTGTCACTGACACAAAATTGGACGAGTGATGACATCCGGCGACGTCTGTGTCCGTGTCAGGGTGTGCGGAAGGGAGGAAGCGTGGGCGTGGGGCAAGGGCAAGAGCTTCTGTTGCCATCCAACAAAATATTGTTGAGACCATGATCTGAGGAGAAACATTCACGGCGGGTCCGTACCATAATCGCACCTCATCCTCATCGCCTCGACCAACATCTTGCGCCACTGTACCACCACGACCACGATTGGAAACGACTCGAGCGCCCCAATGCGCGCACTCCATCCCTAGACTCGCTCTTCGGCACACGTAGCGACACAGCTACCAAACCTCAATCACCATGCCGGCCAAGCAGAAGAGCAAAGATGCCGCGAACGCCCTTGTGTACGACATATTCCTCTGGATATTCAACGTCGTCGTCGAGCTCTTCTTCCGTGAGATTCATCCTCGAAGCTCGTGGCGTATACCAAAGAACGGTCCGGTAATATTTGTCGCCGCGCCGCACGCCAATCAGTTCGTCGACCCTTTGCTGCTCATGAGAGTTGTCCGACACGATGCGCAAAGACGGATAGCTTTCCTCGTAGCAGAGAAGAGTATGCGGAGGAAGTTCATAGGCTTCGCGGCTGGTCTAGTGGGCTCGGTGGCAGTGGGTAGAGCATTGGACAGCAAGAAGCCGGCCAAGGGCAAGATCTATCTTCCTGATCCAGCAGGTGACCCATGTCTGATCAAGGGCAACGGTGTAGACTTTACAAATGGCGACTTCATGCCAGGGGGGCTGCTGGTATTACCAAGTGTCAACAATGTGGCAGCCAATACTGAAATACAGGAGGTTGTCAGCGCGAATGAGATTAGGCTCAAGAAGCCATTCAAAGGCGAGACTGCACTCAAGCAGCTTACGGGACAAGCGCTCGAGGACGGCAACGGACAATCGAAGGAGGAAAGCGGCAAAAACTTCCAAGGTATCAACTTCAGCGTTGCACCACACATCGATCAAGGCGATGTCTATAGTGCCGTGTTTAAACGCCTGCATGCGGGAGGTTGTATTGGAATCTTCCCGGAAGGAGGCAGTCACGACCGAACCGAGCTTCTTCCTCTGAAGGCTGGCCTAGCAATAATGGCGCTCGGCGCATTGGAGAAAGACCCAAACTGCAACGTTCAAATCGTGCCGGTGGGTATGAACTACTTCAATGCGCACAAGTTCCGGTCCCGCGCTGTCGTTGAGTTTGGCACCTCCATAGAGATCGAGCCGGAACTCGTCCAGCAGTACAGCAGCGGACAGAAGAGAGACGCTGTGGGAACAGTGCTCAGTCGAGTCCACGACGGTCTGAGCGCGGTCACTGTGCAAGCGCCGGACTACGACACTCTTATGCTGATCCAGGCCGTGCGACGGTTGTACAATCCCAAAGGAAAGCCGCTGCCGCTGTCGACTGTCGTGGAGCTCAATCGAAGATTGATCAAAGGTTATCAGACGTTCAAAGACGATCCGAGAATCGTCAAATTGCGCGGCGACGTCCTCAAATACAACCGAACGCTTTTCAGACTCAACATCCGTGATCATCAGGTATCATACGCCAAATTCCCGATCTGGAAAGTGGTATTCCTGTTGATCTACCGCACCCTCAAGGTCATTGTGCTGGGTCTCTCCGCTCTGCCTGGAGCGATCCTTTTCTCGCCTGTGTTCATCCTGGGAAAGCTCATCTCTAGACAGAAAGCCAAAGAAGCACTCGCGGCATCGACAGTAAAGATCAAGGCGCGCGACGTCGTGGCGACTTGGAAAATACTGGTCTCGCTTGCTTTGGCACCAGCACTGGATGTATTCTACACCGTAATTCTCACTCTCTGGACCTGGAACAATCGGGTGCGAGGATGGGTTCCGGCCTGGATCCCGTTATGGCTTGTAGCGATAGGTGGTCTGATATTCTTCCCTGCTATTTGCTTTGCCGCCCTTCGAATCGGAGAGATTGGAATGGACGTGCTGAAGTCTTTGCGACCCCTTTTCCTGTCAGTCCAACCGGGAGGAAACAATACACTTACCAAGCTCAGGGCGGAGCGACAAAATCTGCAAGACAGGATAAACGAGGTGATCAACGAGCTAGGACCAGAGCTCTACCCCGATTTCGACCATCAGCGCATTATAAACGATCCCACGCATCCCCTGCATTCGCCTGAGCGGTCTAGACCAAGCACACCCACACACCGCCGCGATGGGAGTGAGATTGACGCTCTGCACTTTACCCCAGCGAGCCCGACGGTCCACGCTCCTTCTATGGGAGCTCATTCGCACATCTCCGCCAATCTTCCCAGCAATGAGAGCTTCAAGAACATTAGCTCTATCGGGATGTTCTCGTCTCGACCTGGCACACCGAACAGAAGCCGCAGCCGTACAAACAGCCAGGAAGGATTTGGCTTTGGCAAAGGACTTGGGTTCACCAAAATTGATAACCCGAAAACGAACCTTACCGAGGTGTCGAAGAATCTTCACGAAGCTATGCGTGAGAGAGGAAGGCGGAGGAAGAGTGAGGATGCTTGGGATATGGTTCGCGATGGCGATGGCGAAGGTGAGGATAGTGAGGAAGATGAAGGTGAGAGCACTGAGTTAGGTGAGACTACATTGGAGCCCAAGAAGATGCGATGAGCGATGAATGATACCGCTTGAGGTTATATGGGTGAGCGTTATCTTTCGCTGAGCTAGCTTACACTCGCTGTCGAGCATCATGTCTTGTGGATGAATCATGAAGTTTCAGTTCGTAATTGTAGTTATCAACAACTACCCAAGTTACCTCGACGATGACCATTGCCGCGCTGCTCGTCATCCAGACTCTTGATTACTCCTAGAGCCCTAATGCTCCTCGCACAACGCGTTTGCATAGTCCACGGTGACACTCTCGATCGCGAGACTCTACTACATACCTCTGTGGCTGAATGGCGTGGTGGCTGTTTCGAACAATGGCTCGATACTTGTCAGGCGGTGGAAGGTAGCTGCTGCTGGAGGCGTGTGTGATGCGGACTTCCGCGGCGCAGCAGGTATATTGCCAACCTGGCGACGACAACCATTCCCATGGCCATGGCATTGATGTGCACGGGGAATTCACTCGTCATTTCTTTTCCTTCTCGGACCCTGTCACGCCGGCGGACGTTTTCTCTTGGCAACGTTTCACTGCAGCAGAAGGTGCAGAAGAAGATCCACCATGCGGGACTGATCTCCAGGCACAATAGCAGAAGGCGTCAAAATCATCGTCTGTTGCATACAAATTAGGGACAGGCCATGTCATGCCCCCGCGCGTCTGCTGTGCTTTGGTATGTTCGGCTAGCACTGTCCAGCCCTCTGGCACGAGAACATGCGCTGGGACCAGAGAAGGCGCATTGTCGACAGGCAGACACAGGAAAGTACTACTCCTCTCTCCTCACCTGCTCTTTCCTCCTTGCCTGCAATTGTCAACCTCACTTCTCCTCACCTCTTCCACCTCATCTCGAAATCCATCTCAGATACAGCCAGGCAGCGCAGAGCCATCATGCTTCCGACCGCTCTTCTCGCGCTTCTTGTGGCTGCGGCCGCCGTTGCAGCACCGAATGGACCAAACATCTCGACAAGCATTGATAGCTGCCACAAAACCATCACCAAATACAGACCTGGCTTCGGCGCAGCAGGCCGACTCTCGACAAACACCCGCACCTCTGCTCAGACTGTCCATTCCACCATCACCACTTGCGGAGCGCAATCAACCTTCACCACCACTATAACCCCCGAGGCTGTCACTCTTACCGTCAACAGCACAAATGCATATGCCGAGAATCGACGGGTCAATACTGGTGACGAGTGCACATCGACGACTACCATGTGAGTCCCAGGCTGCGATGGAATGTGGGCGGACCACTGTTTGACAGCGCTGACAGGCATTTAGATCGAAGAGCGTTGCCACGGTGTACACTGGGACTTACAGTGCTATCCAGTCAAAGCGAACACCAGCTCCACGGAATCAGAGATCGCCATTGTCGAAGCCAGACCTCCTCGGCAAGGTGTTTCATCGCCTCGGACAGAATGCTCTGCTCAACCAGAAAGCTTTCGAGGTGGACTGTCTGGAGCAAGTCACCACACATGTCATCACGACGACAACAATCCATGATGCACCAGCCACTGAAACAGTCACCGCAGAGACGCCTACTGTGTACGTGACACAACAGGAGGGTGAAAAGGCAGTCTTGGCGACAGCACCAGTCAACATCAGCACAACTCTGACCGCGCAACCCGCCGTGAACACCAGCAGCGGTGGAGTCTGCACTGTGACCGCAGGAGCGTCGTCCACAACGACCCAACACTCGAAGTGCGCCCCGACTAATCTCATCTCCGAAGTGGATGGCAAAGGCATCGGCCAGACGCAAGGAGACGAATCCAATACCCGTGGTCTCGCAGATGGAACAGACCCCAGTGCATGCTGTCAATTGTGCGTCGATACAGACGACTGCGCAGCTAGTGAAGATGATCCGGACGCGGGCAATTGCTTCCTGTGGTACACGGAGCCATCTTGCGGTCGAGGATTTAATTACTCTGTCGGCAGCAACGACCTTGCACCAGGCGCTGGTTTCTTGCTTCAAACTGGCTGCGGGACGATCGAGGCCGTAGATACGCCAACAGCATGAAGGTCAGCCAGAGCGTAGAGTTGTGCACAGCATGAATAGTGCGTGGTAGTTAGCTGCGATGGAGTGACTATGAAACAGGGAATAGACGGTCAATGATGCAGCAAAGAGGGAGAGGTCGCCAAGGCCACGTCGTTGGGCCTACGCAGCGTATTCTACACGACGCACCAGCCACACAAGGAAGCTGGGTGCCACTATGCAGGGTGATGAAATGCCAAAGTCACTTTGGCGGAATGTCCACCCGCCTGTATGCTCGTCACTTTGCGACACAATCTTGGTCAACCAGTTGGAGTCGCTGGTGTGCCGCCTGAGATGGATCACAATCCTGGCAATGCCTGCGTCCCTCCTCCATATTGCCCTGTAACTTGTCTTGCATCGTCCTTCGCGATATTTCGTCGTGCCATGTGCAGCCAGTTGAGCATTGGTGTAATTAAAGAGTCTCCGAGTCCATTTTGACGCGCTACACCGTCGAGCTGTCCTGCTGCTAGCGCCGAGTCAATGGCCGAGCCGCAGACCATTCCCGCCAGACACGGCGTTGCAACCTTTGTTCCTGCAGGTCAGAGCATCAAAATCATAAACACCTCTGGTGGTCAGGTCATCGATACTTGGGCCTTTGCGTTGCCGCAACCCGCGCCGCGGAAGGATGTAGAGGAGAAGACAAAGGCAGAAGCACGTAGCGACGAGAGCGCGAAAGCCGCAGAGAAGGTCAGGGGCAAGAGTGCCGACCTGCCTAGTCAAGAAGAAGCTGAACAGGCAACAAGAGAAGCACACCTTCAGGCTGAAAAGGCTGAGCAAGATGGCAAGAAGAGCGGATGGTCATCTTATGTGCCATCGCTCTCCACCGTAGGCTTGGGAGGAAAGAAGGCCGAGGACACCAGCGAGGCCAACCAGAAGAAGAATTCTAGATCATGGTCGGAATACTTCAAGCCCGGAAAGGGCGTGAGTTCGTACATGCCAGAGGTGGCGTCGAATACCGTGTCGAAGTTTGTCAATATACATAATCGGGATACGTCCAAATCGTATTTGGAACAGCTCCAGGATTTCTCCAAAACGCCAGTAGGAGCTGCAGGCATGTCGGCGCTGACAGGAAGTGGATATAGTGGCTCTCTCTATGCTGGTTATCAAGCCTGGAACGCGCGAAATGCAGCCGATGCACCAAGCATGGAAGTCATGTCCATGCCTCATTCTCGAGCATCGACCTTGCACATGGTTCCTAGAGTTGGAGATACTTGGGTGACTAACCTCCGAGAGCCAATTTTGACGCTAGAGGAAGACACTTCGCCTGGAGTCCACGACACTTTGATTGCCGCTTGCGATCCTCAAAGATATCATGAGCTGGGCGTCGAGAAGTGGGAGGAGCATGGTTCATGTGCCGAAAATCTGGTTCTCGCGCTCAAGGAACTCAACGAACGAGCAGGACTGAAAGGTGCAAAGGCTGTAGGTGCCGATGTGACTATCAACAGTGTCCCAGCTCCGCTGAACCTGTTCATGAACATTCCGTGGAACCCACCTGGAAATCTGAGCTTCAAAGCGCCACGATCGAAGGCTGGTGACTATGTACGCTTCAAAGCTGAGCGCGATGTGGTGGTGGTTATGAGCGCCTGTCCTCAAGACGTCTTGGACATTAACAATCGCCACCCGACAGATGCCCACTTTATCGTTGAGGAAGAAAGTACAGCGTCAGCTATCAAGAGAACTACGGCGCCTAAGAAGAAGCCACTTCAACGCAAGGCTTCGACAGCAAACGCGACCGCAGGTGCTTCAAACACTCCTGCCCCCACGTCAGTAAAAAAGAACCCAATACCATCAAAGCCGCCCCCAAAGACGACTGCGCAAGCTCCACAAACACCAAAAGCTGTGCAAGCCCAACCAGCCAAGAAGACAACTCAGCCAGCGAAGGCGCCTGCTCAGCCTGTGAAGACTCCCGCTCAGCCTGCAGCAATACCCATCAAGAAGAAGCCTGTACCTCCAGCGGTCAAGCCGCAACAGACCAATGGCACTACTGTTGAGAAGAAAAAGCCTCGGAAGCTCGTCAGGCAGCCCTCTGAAGCGTAGTAGCTGGCCCCTTTCACACTGTAGAACATGATGATTTGGCGTAATGTAAAAGTCATGGGAATTATTTTCGTGGTTGGAAATATACAAGGACAGCCAGCACGTGGTCAAGTTCTCGGCTAATGTTACACAGCTTGGGCGATGTAAGATCGACAGTCGGTACGTATCACACAAATTACTCCGTCCGGCCAGCCAGGCACGATCGCAAGACAAACACACCTTCTCATTATTCTCGTCGCTTCGCTCGTCGCAGGACTCTGCTACACTTCTTCCGAACACACACTTTGGGACCAAGATGATAATTCCCATCACGAGTGCATTGATCGTACTCGCTTCTCGCATTGCGAATGCGGCTTTGACATACAAGGGTGTCGATTGGTCTTCCCTTCTCGTCGAAGAAGGTGCAGGAAAGACGTACAAGAATACTGCTGGAAGCACACAGCCCCTCGAAACAGTCTTGAAAGCCAGCGGAGTCAATGCCGTGCGCCAAAGACTTTGGAACAGTCCTTCCAATGGAAACTACAATCTAGACTACAACCTCAAATTAGCCAAGCGAGCCAAAGCCGCTGGCCTGGACATCTACCTCGACTTCCACTTCTCCGACTCATGGGCTGACCCATCCCACCAAACCACCCCCTCCGCATGGTCCAACTACGACATCGACGACTTGACATATGCCGTGTACAACTACACCCTAGCCACGATGAACACCTTCCGAACCTCCTCAATCTCCCTAAGCCTGGTATCCATCGGAAACGAAATCACAGCAGGAATGCTCTGGCCTCTCGGTTCCACCCAAACATCCACCTACAACCTCGCCCGCCTCCTCCACTCCGCCTCAGCAGGAATCAAAGACTCCACCATCTCCCCCAAACCCCAAATCCTCATCCATCTAGACAACGGCTGGAACTACGACACTCAAGAATCGTGGTACGATACCGTCTTGGGAGAAGGACCTCTCAAGTCCGAAGATTACGATGTTCAAGGCGTGTCGTATTACCCGTTCTACAACAGTGCTGCGACTTTGGCGAGTTTGAAGTCGAGTTTGAGTAAGATGAAAAATAAGTATAGGAAGGAAGTCATGGTTGTGGAAACGAATTGGCCTCAGAGTTGTCCGAATCCTAGGTATAGTTTTCCTTCGGATACCACTTCGATTCCATTCTCTGCTGCGGGCCAGACGACTTGGATGAAAGATGTTGCGAGCGTGGTGAGCGGAGCTGGTGGGAATGGTTTGTTTTACTGGGAGCCCGCGTGGCTCGACAATGCGGGATTGGGGTCGAGCTGTAATGACAATTTGATGTTTGACAGTACTGGGAAGGCATTGAGTAGTCTGGCAGTTTTCGCGTCGTTGTAGTATAGTAGCAGCAGCAGATACATGTATCATTTCATCCATCTTGCATCATCTCGTATTATGTACCAGAGCAATGACGCCTTCGCCATGCTCGCAAATATGTACTCCAGAAACAATTCCCATCATATATATCCAAAAAGGATGGTCGTCGTCGTGCACGTAGGCTCGGTCTAGACAATAAAACTACTGTAGCAATAGTGTGCACTTTAAAAATCTCCCGACAATGGCTCCGTCACAGCCGCGCGCGCGTTGATCGGTATATCCTGGACTCCGCGCTGATCGAAAAACATAAAAGCCGCAGAAAAGTTCCGTGTCGTCCTCATTATGATGAGTCTGTTGACCTCGTGAAGCATCTTTCCCAACTCTTAAAACGCTGTAGAATTTTCTTCAATTATATCCATCCTCCTTGGACGAGTTCCCTTCCAACGAGCTCGAGCTGTCCTTGCTCACTCGTCCTTCTTCTCTCCAGTACCCAACGCGGCTTTCCACCGCCTTCGGGATCTGGCTCTCGAACATATGTCACGCTGTCCGCACTGCTGCCCTTGCGCGAATGGGAAATTCCACTGCTGTGTGGGCTCGTTGGACTCTTTGCTGCAGGCGGTATCTTCTTCGCGGTCTGAGGCGATTCCTGCAGACTAGTTATATTCCTCTTCGGCGTTGCATCGATATCCATTGCGAACGGATTGCCATTGCTTGAGGAAGCCGATAGAGGACTGTCTTGGTAATTGAAGGTTTGAAAGTTTTGAGCCATGACCGGATGTGCGCTAGATGGATTGCTCGAGCCATTGCTGCCACTGCTGTATGCGAATTGCATGGGAGAGCCAAAGTAGCCGCTGTGGTGAGCGACTGCGGCACCTGCACTTGTATCTAGAGTTGGGCTCAAGACACCGTGAAGTGACTGCTGACTTGAGCGATTGCTATTCGCACTCTTCACACTGCTCTGACTTCCCCCAAAGGCATGTGCGCGGAGTCGTCGTAACTCGTCAAACGAGGTGATGTCGTCCTCTCTCAGCGGCGTGATAGGCATTCGTGCCAGGGCGGGTGAGTGAGGCCCGTAGCTTCCGGCACTTGGCGGAGGGTGTGTGCCTGGTAGAATGCCAATAAAACTATTCCGTGTGCTGAACTCCGACCTCTCGGTGATTGGTGTCAAGTTGGGCTCCTTCAGACTCTTGTTCCTTTGCAGTCCATTGTCGCCATCGTCTCCAAAGTAGCCGCCATGTACAGCTTCCAGATCTCCTGAATTAGCTCGAGGTCTACCAAAGAAGTGGAACTCTTGACCATAAAACCCTTCATCATCATTTGCAAGTGCTTCAGCATTTGCTGCGGCCACAAGATCGTCGTCGTTGCCAAAATCGTCATCTCGATCATCGAATCCAAAGTCAAAGCTCAGTTTTGGCGGGCTGTAATGCGACATTGTAGTATCGCTACGGTCCACACCGATAGGACTATGCGGCATTGGTATTTCGCCTCCATCTTCATCATGCGAGTAGAAGCTTAGAGCGTCCGCGTTGGGGTCGTTGACCTCCAATCGACCAGGCATTCTGGAACTTTGCTGCGTGGAAACACTCAAGGCTCGGGTGAAGCGGCCATCGGCAGCGGCCTGATTAGCAGCGCTGGCAAGAGCGGCATGGTATCTCTGCAGGCTTTCCTGCATCTGGTGATATGCCACTTCATTCGATGGCATGACAGGAATCGGAGGCGCCTTATCGCTACGACCCATTCGCTTTGCGTCTTCCGAAGGGTTGCGTTGCGGGATGAGTTTCGGATCGACAGGATTTTGCAAAGGCAGATCTTCCAGCATCATCTGAGAATAGCGTGCTTGCGCTTGAGCAGCATTCGGAATGGCGAATGTTGGATATGGCCCATCTCCACTGCTTCCATGGCTTGCGTGTGTTAATGCGGCGCTGCTTCGATCACGTCTATGACCAAAGTTGTTCACCGCTGCATTGGGTCGATAAAGGAAGCTGTCATCGTCGAATGCATTCTCGTCGATACTGGCACCATGTGTCTCCTTGATGTCTTGGTCGAAGTTGCCATCATCGAAGTACATATCGTCCTGAATGCCATCATAGCTGTTGCTCGTGGTAGAGCACGTCTGCTGCGCATTGGGGCTGATCGATGACCTGAGACGCAGGTGACTGCCGATCACAGCACTTTGACCACCCTCGCTCGGATTTGAGGCGTGCGATCTTGCATCTCGGTTCGGGAATGCAGCATCGCCGGATCGAGTCGGAGAAACAGCGTTCTGCGGACTGGTCATCCGTGGCTCAATGTTAGACAGATTCTCGTGCGCACGGCCATCTGCATTCAAGGGTCGTGTCTCAGCGGACGATCGCCCGTCGTCTTGGCTGTTTGGAACGTCATTGAAGTCAAAGCCGCCAAAAGAGCTAAGTCGATGGCCAGGTGAGGCAGGCCATTGACGTGAGCTGGACTTTTTTGAATAGCCAGCCAATCTTGCGTTGCTAGAAAAAGCACCTTGTGATTGCTGCAGACTCTTGAACCTTGTGTGGAAGGCCTCATTGGGAAGTGGTGACTTTCTTATGCTCGTTTCGGTGGCAATGGTGGCTCGTTGACCGGCTTTGCTAGCCGTCGTAGGTGAAGGCCTTGGGTCTTCTTCAGTGTTGATACTATTGGCCGGCAACGTGGCAGTTGGCGACGACACAGATCGAACGCAGAATGCAAACGGCCCGTGAGCGTTCTGATCCTCGCGACGAATTGGTTCACTATCGCCTGTTCCGGATTGCGCCTTTTCGCCGTCGGCGATATCAGTCTCGCTACGATCAGTGACATCTGCGCCAGGTGATATAACGGTTGACGGTCGTCCAAAGAGGAAACCCTTCAACATGCTCAAACCGAGTCCAGTCGATGCAGATTGAGGACTGCTGGTCTTGCTATCGGCAGCTGCCTTCGCTTTCTCACTAGTCTCCGTGTCAGGCGGTGAAGCTTTGGGACCGGCGCCAACAGGCTCGCGTTGCTGCTCGATAGCTGAGCTTCCAGCTTCTGCAAAGCCTGAGCGAGCAAAGTCTTCGGAGCTCACGTGGCTGTCGGTGGACCGCTCGCTGAAGTTGCTATTTGCCGGAGATGTCAGACCTAGTCCACGCATTGCATCGGCTGTCTTGGTGTCGCTGACAAGACTCGATGACTGTGCAAGGGTTTCATTATTAACAGACTCTGGCCGCTGGACAATAATGACGGCGGGAGCCTCTAGAGTCTTGCTTACGGCAGCAGCAAGACCCATCGTGTCAGAATCTTTGCGCAGACGTCCCTCTTGAAAGCCATTTTCCGAAGATACATTCAGTGCTCCAGTCGGCGTCAATAGGCTTCCACCACTGGCCAGAATCTTGCCCTTGATGTCTGCTGGGGACTTGAGGGTGTCGCCGTGCGGGTCTCTAAGACGTCCTGAAATGCTCGTAGCAGGTCCTTCATCCGGTCCCTGACCTGACCTGACTACTGGGCTATCAAAGCTCATACCACTTACCACACGACTCCGCTCGCCATTGGATCCGGCAGGATCCACAGGAGATCCATTCGGGGAGTATCCGGCTGCCTGTGGCTGCATATAGAAGTTCGATCGCGCGGCTGCATCGCTTTCCGGGATTATTCTCGCGCCAGGTACTTGCAATTGCGGCTGCGATCCATTAGGCACGAAATATGAGTCGCGCATGTAGTGATCAATGGTGCTGTCGCGCCAGTAGCCATCGAGGGCATCCTGCTGTATGGAACTATTTCGAGAATAGTTGCCGAGCGCTGAATGCGCTCTGAAAGCTGGATGATCGGCGTAGGGTAGCTCTCTCTCATCCGTAATTTCTGGAATTTGATCATCATAAATCGAACCGTCGTCGCTATCAAGCTGTAGCGCCTGTCGTGCTTGCTGCAGGTACAGCGAGCTTTGGGCAGGAGCGGTATTCTGCGCATCTCCATTTCCGGGGGTCACCTGCAGGTGAAAATTGTCTTCATCTAGCGAGGACTGCTGCATCTCAAATTCGTCCATGTCATCCATGGCATCTTCGTCGAAGTATTCGTCTTGATCTTCTTCGTCCGGACTCCTCCCTTGCACAAATGAACGAGTCAGGTCCCGTTTGCGATGCTTCTCTTCCAAAGCCTGTTCTTGCGCTGCACTTTCGTCAAACTGGAATGAGAACCGTGATGCATTGCTGGGATGATGCTTGGGAATGTTTGTGCTTTTTCGTGAATGCCCGACAGCCGACTTGCGCTTCTCAACCAATTTTGGAGCCGTTGACGACGTTCTGAACGTCTTTGCATCCTGCACTAGTTCTGGTGTCTGGTCAGGAGTTGCAAAATCGGCAGTGCGGTCGAGCAGAGACTGTGAAGCAGGAGAATCCGTCCGGATCTCTTGTCGTGAGGGATGCAAAGACTCTGCTGCTCGACCTCGACCAGGACTGTTCGATGGTTGGGGTGAGCCTCGAGAAGCCAATGAAGGGCTTTGAGATGATTTATGGAGCTGACGTGGCTCCACAGGTGAGTTCTCAACCGAGCCTTCATCGATGGTCTCAATCTGAGGAGGCGGTACGATGGTCGCAAATGAAACTGCTGCGCCCTCATTCGATCGCTGATCGGCCACTGAGGTTTTGCTTGATTGCGAAATTGGTCTCAAGCTAGTGCCATCAGTCATCGTTTTGCTCATCTGTGACTGTGGCCGAGATGAGCCGCCAGGGCTAGTGGGAGACACCGGGCTGAAACTGCCTCCTCTAGCATGGAAGCCACTGTTCCTTGCTGTGAGGGGACTCACTTCGCTGATCGAGCCTAGATGAGAGTCACGTGCCTTCTCACTCGGTGGATCTGAGGGTGAAGAATCATCGTCTTGATAAAGGCTGGCCTGCGTTGGATCAAGCATCTGACTCCTTCTGGCGAAAGGTGGCAGCACCGCACTTTCCTGTGAGAGAGAGGTGGCAGCAGAATGTTTGGAGACTCGCTGCAGGAAGTCTTTATTTTCCAGATTTTCCGCCTGTATCGAACTAATCCGTCTTGATGATTCCGGGTTCTCGCCGAGATGTTCTTTGAAGACAGGCGTATGGTTGCTGCGTCTCTGGTTCTGATCACTCAGTGGTCCGCGGTTCACCAACGATGCATTCCGGGGAGGGTAGTCAACAGGCGACGTGACCGGTGTGCCGTTAGGGCTATGAATGGGTAGTGGTGATGTAGACATGTCCGTCTCATCGAATGTGTTTCTCTTTTCTCGCGGTGCACTGAAGTCGTGAACCAGCTTGCCCTTGATGCGTGGATCGAAATCTGGAGGGAGCGGTTTCGGGCCAGAAGTCAAAACGTCCCTCTGCCTTGCTAATGCCTGAGCTTGAGCCTGCCGCGCGGCTCTTTCTTCGACAACGACTTCCGGATCTTGCGAGCTTCGTCGACGCTGTAGAAGTGCCATGGGATTGAGAAGACGAGCTTTCTTTTTCGATGGATCCTTCTTCTCCGACTTAAAGGAAGAGGTATGGTGAGTCGGCACAGATACACCTCCCACCTTTGCTGAAGCGCTAGGCGTCTTGGGCCGTGTCGCAACATGTTGTGGAAGAGGAAATGAGTCTGCTGTTGCGCCATATGGTGTTCCGATAGTGATCACAGGTCCACCGGAGAAGGCCGTACGGCTTGACGCCTGCGTGCTCGGTCGGGCAGTCGATCCACTGTAATTCGTGCGCGACGTGGAGAGATTGTGAACACTATCGTGTGGACTCGCTCGTGAGCTGTATATAGGTATGGGACCGCGAGCATTGATGGCAGGTGGTGACGTTGGTCGGCGTAAATTAGGCGAGCTATGATTTCCTTGCAGCATGACCGGCCTTTGTGGTTGACTATATGGTTTATCGCGCGAGTCGATGAATGATCGATTCATCGCAGGCATATTCGTAGCTGGCGGCGGAACGGACATGTCTGCTCTCACTGGAAACAGCGATGCCTCCATTCTTGGGGTGCTGTTGGTACTCGACGGCGGGCCTCCAGCAGTGTGCGGCCGTGGCGATGGTTGCGGTCGTTGTGGAGTCCTTGATGATGGCGAGGCTGGCATCGTCGAGCGGGACGGTGGCATGGCGCTGCCCGCAAATTCCAAGCTTGACCTTTTATTGCCATTACTCTCTCGTCGCGATCTGCCACCATATGCACCGGGAAATCGCTCGTCACCACCCATTCCCTCCTCCCTGGAGCCCATGGTGTTCACCTTGCTCCCTGCAGTTTGTGGGATTGAAAGCAAGTCTGGCGATTGGAGACTTCTGCCTCGCGCGGCGTTCGTTGCAGCAAGGCCATCGCTGGTGTGCGGGCGCGCAGAGTCGCTTTGTGGCGAGAAGGGCGAAGAGGGAATGGTGTTGGGGGTGGTGTCCGGCAGCTCGAAATCGAAGGTCATGTCCAGGGCCGGGCTGGTCAGCGGGCTCACGAGCGGAGCATGGCGATATTCGTTTTCTTCTGCGGCAGCACTGGCTGCACGCGAAGAATGATTCGAGGACGCGCGCTTATGGCGCCCTCTGCTGAACATTCTCCGCGTTACGCATACAGTATGCGAGCCAGGATGTTGCTTTTGATGATGCCGCGAGCCAATGGATGCAAGGCTTGGGGTCGCACGTCGCGGCGACGATACGGAGGTGATAAGGGCCAAGGCTCAATCTCACACGGCGATGATTCCGAATGCTCTAGTGAGACATGACCTTCGCGCTGCTTGCACCCGCTGCCGCTGCCGCTGCCGCTGTCGAGGGTGTGTACAGTATGGCTGTGTGCAGAGGCGCTGTCCGCTGTCTGCTGTCCGCTGTCCGCTGTCCGCTGTCCGCTGTCTGCTGTCTGCTGTCTGCTGTCCGCTGTCTGCTGTCCGCTGTCCGCTGTCCCAGCTCCTGTCAGATCATCAGATGGCAGTGACACGCCTTCTCGATGCGAGATGCATCCAACAGCGCTCGTACATGTACATGTAGGTATCCACGCCCGACTGTACAGCGTGATCCTTTCTGCGTCCGTGGTCCGTCCTGTTCTCACGCACACGCACACGCGCACGCACGCACAATGTGAATGGGGAATCCTGCAAAACGAGAGACGATGGCGCGCGCGCGAAGGGGAAGAGGGTCTCTCTGGGATCAGGTGTGAAGGCAATAAACTTCACACTTGCACACGATAATGCTGGGCTAGCTATTCTTATTTGAGCCTGATCCATGCGCGGGAGTAGGAGGCTTGCACTGCATCGGTCGACCACGTTCGCCTTACGGACGGTGACAGATTTCACTAATAATAATCAATTGAAGGAACAATGTCCACAATGCATTCTGCAGGTCACGTTATCCTCGCATCCCAAGTGGTGATATTGAACCGTTGTGCGGCGGAATGACTACCGAATCGGCTGTCCGCTGTCTTCACCAAAGCAGCAGGTGGCATGGCAGATCGTCTCTCGCCCGCGCCCGTGATAGGACAGGGAGCACACGTTTGGCACGCGTTGGCTTCGCAGCAGCCTCGCATGGTTGAATTTGTTTGTTAGATACGCGTCGCAGCTATCGAAACTATCACGGCCGATAGAAAGGCGGGAAGCGATCGGGGAGGGGAGATCCACAACCTCCGGCTCTCAATAACCACTTCCGAAGCATGCGACAGTAAGAGAGCAACACTGGCGGGCACATTGCGATGGCGCCCTCGATCGTCCACCTGCCCAATGGCCAGACCCTCGCCGTGTCTCCAGTCTTTGGCGGACTCTATTTCAAGTCGAATGACCTCCATACTGTGCACAACGTCTTCCCTCCAGGCTGGACCATCATTCTCAATTGCGCCCATGCCGATGCCGATGCCGACGACGACGACGACGACGACCTGCCTCTGGAAGCAGCCACCCTCCGCCCCGACCCAACTTCACGGCCCGAAGCTCCCATACACAAGAGACCGAACATCCATCGTTTCAGACGGCCGAGCTTGAGGAATGACCATCTGTTCATCTCTTCCATCTCAAATCCCTCCTCCAATGACTTCAAACCTCCCACCTCCCCCACCAGGCAGATCGCCATGATGCTCTGGGCCACCCTGTATTGGTACTTTCACCAGCAAGAGCCAGCGCAGCAGCTCACAACCGCATCATCCAACAAAACGCCCGATGATGGCAAGCCAAAGGGCGACTGGAGGATTAATATCAACCGGGAAGGCATATTCACGGGCAAACATCTCCTGCCCAAGCTCGAGAGAATGGGTCTCATTGCCTCGGAAGACTCTTCTGTCGGCCTAGACCCGGAAAATGGTGTAGGGAACACGAGTGAAGGCTGGACGAAAATGTTCGTTTCACGCCGCTCCTTCTGGCAGATGGATCCCAGGATATACCTCTTCACTCTTACTCCACTCCAGACAAATTCTCCATTCCCCTCCGTAAGTCCGGCAGGCTCACGCCCAGCATCTCCCAACAGGAACAGTCGCATACATGTCGACGATGGAGGTCCGACGAGTATGGCACTTGCGGCTGCATCACAGTCTAGCCTCATAAATCGTTCAAGCACACCACCCGGACCATTCCACTCTTCGTCACATCTACCCACCTACTATCCCCCTCCACCGGTGCAGTACACCATGACGAAACACGTTCGACATCCTCTCCGACCAAAGCCGCCGCGACAAGGGGAAACATTCTACATACGATACATTCCCAGCTTGGGGCAGTATCTGACCTTCAGAGTGGCATCGTTGAGCAAGAAGCCAATTACCTATATCGGACCTTTCTCCTCGCAGGCTGGTGACAGCCCCTTCATCTCCGGCCGGGACATTCTCCGACACCACAACTCAGATTCTGATGCTTCTGTACCAATGATGGGGAGCGTATCTGCACATGCTGCTGAGTCGCATCGTGGTGGTGACCTGGAGACTAGTCGCATGACTGATGTTGAGCTACTACATAAGTGGCACAACGACCCGCGTGTCGCAGCCAGTTGGGGTGAAGATGGACCACAATCGCACCAAGAACAATTTCTGAAAAATGGGCTTACGTCCCGGAACTCCATACCAGTTATCGGATGCTTCGATGGCAAGCCTTTCGGCTTCTTCGAAATCTACTGGGCTAAGGAGGACCGTGTGGCTAGATATATCGGCAGCGAAGTCGGAGACTTCGACCGTGGCCTGCACGTGCTCGTTGGCGAGCAAGACTTTAGAGGTCCTCACCGCTTCAAGGTTTGGATGTCCGCGCTCGTCCACTTCTGTTGGCTTGCAGACTCAAGGACAAATGTTGTCATAATGGAGCCAAGAGTAGACAACGACAAGTAAGCAATCACATTGCCTCAACTTCGCACGCTGCTGACACAGACTAGAATCAAACGGTACTGCGAGGATGTTGGTTTCTACAAGGAAAGAGAGTTCGCACTTCCTCACAAGCAGAGTAACCTCATGAAGATTCGACGAGAGGCCTGGGAGGCTCCTAGCATATAATCCGAAGGAAATGCAGACGAAACGAAGATACGGTCGATTGGGGATGGATATACCCGATGCTTAGAACCAGTTCCAAAAAACGGACCTGACAGACTCAAATTACAGATATACTGAAGCAATATACCACTCTTCCATCTTGAGATGTCGGCTCCGCGTTTGAACCAAGATTGACGCAGCGACGATTGCACCAATTCCTCGAGCGCTACAGTATTCCTCTTTGACATGTGGATGGCTGGGGCACCCCATCAAAGGAAGACGATCTCTACAACAGTACTCTTGCTGATCGCAAGAGGCTGTACGATATTCAGCGGTATGCTTATAACGAGTATGCGGCTGGGTGTGTGTGCGTTTTGGAATTACCAGATGAAGAATGTTGTCGATACTGTGAGTGGAGATGTTACAAGACTGCCTATTGGAGCTGGATTCAGCTGGTTAGGGAGAGTGTTGTTAGTAAAGACTTGTCAGCATAGAAGCATTGTACTTAGAAAAAGGATCTGTGAGAGAGGTCCGCAGGAGAAGGATTGATGGATGTAGTGATTCGAGCGTTGGGATAGGCCGCGGAACTCGCAGGCCGCCTGGTTAGCCGGCTATGAAATAATCGGGGCTTAAAACTGCTTTCGCTCGTGATTCTTTCGATATGAGCGTCTATATGCTGATACAGCCTTGAGCAGAATTGTTCTTGCATCTGGTAGAGCAACGCCTTGGCAGGCCCACTCGCTACCCAGCCATTGGTCGAACTCAAAAACAACTCCTCTTACTTACCTCCTACCATTGTACAACTCACCGCAGTCTTTCCATCATTAGAGCCACTGGCACACCCCAGGAATCAGAACATCTACCGACATGGCCGAGTAAATGTTTTGCTGGCCCTACAGTCCTCGCCTATCGGGTAAGGCACTCGGACTATTCTCAATTTCAAAAACCCCGGGCTTTTTGAGCCGCACCACTTCAGTTTTGCCTTCCATACTAATTTTAGTGGTAAACCGAACCATTGCTGTCGCTGTATCTAGTCTATAGTTCCAATAATTGGTATTGTTACTTGTTTATATTATTGCCGTCGCTCTACCGATTTTCTACCGCCGTCCTACGCTATAGACCTCGCCGTCGCTATAGCGCCCCTTATTAAGTAAGATAAGGCAATTATCGGCTAGTTATTAATAGAAGGCATATCGGCGAAGGATATATAGTTATCGTAGCGCTTAAAGAACGAAAGGGGGTCGTTTACTACTATAAAGCGTTATAGTACTAATCTAAAGAGATATAGTATAGTTAATAGCTTCTAAGGTAAACTAGGACGACCGAAGAAGGTACTACTATATATAAGAGACTTTATAATCGATATTCTAGCTACTAAGAGCACGACCTAGATAGATAAGGTTTAAGACTAGATAGTGCTTAAATTTAGAGTATATATCGGCGTTACTACTATCTAGAGGTATATAAGGAATAAAGACTTTACCTATAAGGTAACTTAGCGATAGGCTTCTTAGCGAGACCTATAGGCGGAAATAGCGTACCTAGTTAATATAGAATACTAGATAAGCGAGCAGATTGTCTTTATAGATAAGACCTATTATAGTAAGCGCTCTACTATCTAAAGGCGTAGATAGGCACCTAAAGGATTTCCTTATATTATAAAGGACTATCTATACTGTTTATAGCGATATAGTATCTTACTAGTATACTTAGTCGACGGCTAGCTTCTAGGAGCAACACTTATTAAGCAAGGCAGTATCGATAGCGACTTGTTTATTATATAGATCTAAGAGAAGGTGCTACCGCCCCGTAATCCGTATCTAGGTCTACGGTCTATTATTATAATAGATAACTATGCGACTTATTAACGAGAACGAGTCCGCAATCTCTATCGCTTATATAGCGTTCTTACTAACTTCTTGCCGCTATATTTACTATATCTTAACCTAATAGAGCTATTATTTAGACTCTTTAAAGGATAGATTAAGAGGCATTAGGATATAATGCCTAAATATAGCTAGATAGACGAATAGCAGTCTTAATTCGAGCGTTATCTATAGCTAGTAATCGATAGTTAGGGTAAAGGTATAGACTATAGGAAGTTGTTCCGCTACGCTAGTATAGCTTCCTAGCAAGATAGTCGATAGAATAGGAACTAACCGTTAGATTTAGGCGTTTAGATATAGATTCGAAAGGCCTCGGTCGGCGCTATAACCTTATTAAGAAAGCGTATTAATCTATATAGTACTAATTAAGTAGTATCGATTAGAAGGTAGTAGGTTGCATTTTGTAAAAGGTACTAAGACTCCGCTTTCTATAGTAAGCGGGGAAAAGTCTAGTCTATACATTTCGAGCGTAAAGAATACAATATATAGAGCTCGTATCGGCACGCAAATTTTTTAATAAATACTTTAATATATATAAAATATAATAGGAAATATATATTATATAAATACTATAATTAGGTAATATAGTATAGACATAAATGCGAAAAAGTAATAGAATTTAGGGTCTAGAAGTAGGGTCTTAGCGGTACGATATAGAGAAGCTAGCGGTCGAAACGTATATAGTATATACTATATAAACTAAATATAGAAAAACTAAATAAACAGAATACAAGGATTATATATTATTATATAAGGGACGATTAGTAGTTAGGCAATAGTATAGTATTAGAGTAAGTATCTACGGTTCTACGGAAAGTATATACCGGGCTTAGCTAGCGTACCGTCCCTACTATAATAGTACCCTCGTCCGATAGAACGAAGGCTAGCGTACTATATTAGCTAAACCCCTTCTTATATACTCCTTCCGCTTTTGCTTGTTTTCCTTACTACTTGTATTCGTATTATGCGTTCTTATACGTCTTAAGTATATCCTCCTCTCCTTAGTCTAAGTCTACTAGTTTAGCGCGCGTCTTCTTAGTAGCCGACTTTAGTATAGCCTTAGTATCGGAGCTAGTTAAGAAGTTTGTATACTAGCGTCGTCTCTTCTAGTTAGATATCTCGCTAGTACTAGTACTAGCCCGCTTGCGCTTCGCTCCGCCGCTCTTATTTTATATCTTCCGTACGCCGACATACTAGACTTGCTTTAGCGTCTTAGGTATAGGTATCGAGGCGGGTACCGAGGCTAGTAGGGATAAGGCGCATACGAAGGGTTAGCCTATCTAGATTTTTAGTAGCTTAGTCTTGTCCTTGCCTTTTAGTAGAGGGAAGGCCTTACCTTTGCCTTTAGAGGCTAGGGCGAGGGTACTAGCGTTAGCGGCGCCGTACCGAGACTTAGTCTTACGCTTCTCCGATAGTTGCGGCGTAGCTAGCGCTTCTTTATTAGTAGCTGCGGTGCTAACGAGAGTCTTAGACTTAATAGCTATAGCGAGCTCGTCTAGTAGGTAGAGGTATAGGTCGGCGCGTTACTCGTCGGTAAGCGACTAGTATCGTCCTATAATACCTATATGCCCTAGTCCGCGGTATAGCTTTACTAGTATTGGCTAGTAACCGGCCCCACACACCTAGGCTAAGTTTTGAGCCTATATAAGAGGCCTCCTTCTGCATTGTAGATAGGGCACCAACCTCGTATAGCACATTGTTTATGTCACACTTCTACAATGCCTATATTGTAGGGCTCTAGTCATTAGCCTAAGCAACCGTCTTATTATCCTATTATGCTAAACATAGCTGCCTATATTGCTATAGGTTATGTTACCCTCGGTAGCCTATACTATTACTACTAGTAGTAGTAGTGGTTTTGGTTTCCGTCCTTTATTAGAGCCGAAGGTAGGGCCATCTCTTTATATCTGACAGGTTCGGGTATGTTGAAGGTGGTCTCTAGGCACGAATAGCTATAACTAAAGCGAGGGCACGACAAGAGCCTACGGTACGGACGATACCGAAGTATCTTAAGGGGCTATTACGACAAGCAGAGAAACCTCTTAACGAGGGCATCGCTTTAACCCCGAAAAGCTGCAAACCCTTAGGACTATTACAGCTTAGGGCCTAGTCTATAGCTATAGCTAGCTTCTAAGGACTCGGCTCCGGGTCGAAGACCTATTTAGCACCGCTTACTCGAGATAAGCCCCGCCTAAGGAGGAGATAGACTAATCACCTATCGGCCTTGCTTAGTTTACTAAGACTATCAATTGATAGCAAATACGGATTGCAGGTCGGATAGCCGGGGAGTCCCCTATTAATCGGGTAGGGCGTTCCTAGATTCGTAGCCTCGCTTAGACAGTGCTTAGCCTTCTATTAGAAAAAGAAGGCCACCGCCCCCCGCCTAGCCAAAGGAGATACGAGCTAGTTTCTAGGATCCAGGTATAAATAGAGATTGCAGTCTCTCCCTCCGAGCGGCTTTTGTCCAAAATCTACTAAACTAAGCTCCTAGAGGTAGTTAGGCGACCCCTAGGAGGCTAAATCCTAATACTATCCCGGGGGTAACACTAGGAGAAACCGCCTAATACACTACTCTCTTATATAGCAACATTACAACAAACTAAACAAACTAAAGACACTAAAAATACATTTATACAGTATTCTATTTCAACTTTATATAGCATTCTATTTTAGCCATTTCAACTATTTTATAACAATCGAATAAGCTCTAGCGCTAGCGAAAACGAGCATTACGAATCAGCAGAATCTTCGGAATCCGAAAACGCCCCTAATCCTATTAACGAAGAAATCAGGCGGCGACTAGTTAATATAAGTGAGCCTCCTACGCCCTCTACGCTAGAGGCGCTCTACAATATTATTATAAAGATAATAGAGAAGCAAACTGAACTTCTCCGTTAAAGCAAGCGTCGCCCGCTAGAACTAGGGAGCACTGCAAACCCCTTATTCGAAGGGTGGAACGCTATAGTATATATTAAGCGCTTTAAGGAAGGCTTAGTTAATTACGAGCTCGATAGAGAATCCGACTAGTACAAGATTCGGTCCTTTACGAGGACTACCTCCTCTAAGCTTCACCGAACCCTTAAAACCCTAGTTAGCTACCTAGAAAAGGACGATAAGTCTAATGCTAACTAGGAGACCTTTAAGGTAGCCTTTATAAGGGAGTATCGGGAGCGCGATAGCCGTCGCATTAAAGGCAGTCGTACGTAGCTCGAGACCCTCTGCTTAGTAAGGCGCACCGAGGATAACGACCTAAAAGGGTATATCCGCGAGTTTGTCGAG